GGGTGAGCCCTGGGTTATGAGGGGGACCTGGGTTGTGAGGGGCCTTGGAGGATCTGGTTTGGAGAGGATAGGGGCAAAGGGAGGGCTTGGAGGGGTGGGAGAGAAGGGAGGGCTTGGGGGGGGGTATGGAAAAGAGGGGGGCTTGGGTGGTTAGGGGAGGAGGGTGGGCTTGGGGGGGGGGGAGAGAAAGAAGGGCTTGGGGATGAGGGGGAGAAAGGACGGCTTCGGGGGAGGGGGAGAAAGGAGGGCTTGTAGGGGAAGGAGAGGAGGAGGGCTGGGGAGGAGAAGGGAGGGCTTAGGGGGGTGGAGGAGAGGGAAGGGGATAGGGTGGGGGAGAAGAGAGGGCTTAGGGTGGTGGGGGGAGTGTAGGGGCTGGGGCAGGTAGGGCTTCTATTGTGTGGGAGGTGGGTGTGATCCTCCTCCCACTGCTGCTGTTGAACTGTCTGTGGAGGGTTCCGGCCTGTGGTTTCCTGATTCCTGTCTCTCTGCGCTCCTTCCTCGCTGCTGCTGCCCTCGATCACTCCTCCCTGGTCATATTCCTCTGCAGGAATATCATCTTGAACTTCTGTACATTGAATAGGCTGCTCTTCTTTGCTAGAATTTCTTCTTTTGTGTCCTCGCTTTTGAAAACCACTTTTATCAATCGATCTTTGTCCTTGTTGTACTGGCCAAGCCTGAAAATCCTTTCTATATTCTGTGCTTCCCTCTCCATCTGTACCCACTTCAAGGATCTCTCTGAATGTGGCTTTGTCCATATTTCTCCTCACTCCTGGACTGGCCCCTATTTGCTTTTTGATACCTACTATGACTACTGCTCTTTTCCTCTCTGTCAGTCAGCTAGTGCATATTTGCTGCTTCCTGAGAAGTAGCAACTTTCATGGCAATTTCCTGTACTGAAGAGACAACTTCTGGGGTCCTTCTAAGTATGTCTGCAAATTCGTCGGCTGTTCTGGTTTCTTTGGGGACGTCCATTCCGCCTCTCTTACAATCGCTGGGTTTGGCCCCCGGGGGGCCTTGCATAAGCTGCTGCATTGCTGGCTTCCTCTTCGGGTTTTTTGGGGTTCAGTGCCTTGGCGCCTGCCCAAGCCCTCGCTCAATTTGGTCACAGATGCCTCATCCCTCGGCTGGAGCTTTGTGGCCAGTGCTCACCAAGCCGGCCAGGAACGGTGGGATCCGTCCTTCCGTCGGGCCTACAGCATGGTGCAGGAGTTTGTGGCAGTGTTGTTTGCTCTCCGGAGGGTTCGGGTTGTCCACGGATCGACGATCCAGCTCCATTCGGACTGCTCCCCGGTGGTTCATTGCCTGAACTGAGGTGGTTCAATGTGGTCCTTGGCTCTTTGGCGCTGGTTGCTTCGGTTGACTCGTCTGCTGAGTTCTCGGGATTTGGCTCTCCTGGCAGTTCACGTGCGGGGAGTGTCCATTGTCTTGGCGGACGGCCTATCTTTTTCATTACTCTGTCCACGAAAGAAATGGTCGACGCTGACTCCTTCCGTTGGCTCTGCCAGACGTTCGGGTACCCCGAGGTGGACCTCTTCGCTTCGGCTTGGTCGCGGCGCCTTCCACTGTATGTGGCGCCCTTCCCCAACTGCGAGGCTGTCGGGGTTGATGCCTTTCGGCAGGACTGGTCGAGGTGGGGGTTCCTGTACCTCTTTCCCCCAGTTTGGCTGTTGCTCCAGGTCCTGACTCACTTGGAGACGTACCAGCGGAGAGTAGTCCTCTTGGCCCCGTGGTGGCCGGCCCAGCCATGGTTTCAGGTGCTGCTTGCTTGGTGTCCGAACCCGGAGGTTTTCCTGCGGCTCCGCCTCTTCCAACAGATCGGACCGGAGCCTCACGTGGCTGGTTCGATCATCTCCTTGAGTCTTGGCGTGTGGTATTTTTGACTCGAGTTTATCATCATCTCTGTGGTGATCAGGTGGCTTCCTTGTTGGTGTTCCACCTACGGGTTTCATCTTGGCTTCAGTATGAAGTTTCCTGACGGTCCTTCCGGTTCTTTTTGACTCTTCATCGTTGTACTTCGCTTTCGGTTCAGGTGGTAGTGTCCTTTTTTTCATGGTTGTTCGAGGACCAACATCTTGTGCCGAATACTGTCGCCTTGTATCGTGCGTTGCTGGCGGAGCCTCTGCAGCTTGCTTTCAGTATTGATGTAACTTCTGTGCCGTTTCGCAAGCTTTCTCATGCGTTGTTTCACCTCCGGCCTGCTAATTCACCACCTGATCCGTCCTGGTCATTGGACTGGGTGCTCTCTTTTCTCTCTTCTCCTCGGTTTGTTGTGGCCCCTTCTGTTCAGGATTGTTTCTCAAAGGCTCTTTTTTCCTATTGGCATTGGCCTCTGGGGGTCGGGTCAGCGAGCTTCATGCTCTCCTCCAGCGCAGGAGTTTCTGCTTCTCTGGGGTCTCCTACTTTTCTGGCGAAGAATGTGACTGCTGTTTTCCCGGAGGGATCCTTGGGTTGTTGATGCTTGGTTGGTCAGGCCGGGGGTGCATCGTGTTTTGTGTCCAGTTGCAACCCTCCGGCGTTATTTGCGCACCAACGTTTCTGTGTCTGGGGATGCGCTTTGGGTTGATCCGGTTTCCCTTCTTCCTTGTTCGCTGATGCGGGTCTCCCAGGTCGTCCGCAGGGTTATTAAGGCTAGCCAGCCTGTGGTCTATCCCCGTGCACATGACGTTCATAAGTTTGCTCTTGCTGCCTTCTTTGGCAACATGTCCTGGGCTGATATTCGGGCACGGGGTTTTTGGCAGTCGAACAGGGTCTTGGCTGCGTGCTACCTAGTGAACGTTCCTGGGCCCAGTCGGGGCTGTGTCGCTTTGGGTTGGCGGTTGCAGCCAGTTGTCTCGACTTAGCATTGAGGAATGAGCAGCGACCACCTCTAGGGTAAGTCCCTCTTCTTTTGCTCTGTGGGTAGTTAGCTCCGGGGAACTGAAGGGGCTCCCCCTAGAAAACCAGCATTGAATGTAATGAAATGCCATTTTCTGGTTGAGACCCAGAGGCTCCCTAGCATCCCTCCCACCCCCGGTAGGCTGTTTTTTGCGTGTTTTGATGTCCAGTCTCAGAACTGACAGGTGGATAGCCAGCGCAGGGGTCTGGGACTCTCTCTTTCCCTTCCCAGAGAGGGGGGAGCTGCGCAGACTGCGGCGCGGCGACGTGCGACGTCATGCTCGTTTGCTCGTTTCTTTTTGGGAAGTTCTATCCACTTGTTCGACTTTTGGTTGCAATTTTTCACCAGAATAGGGGTTTGTTTTGGGACGCTTACCTTCTTGGTGCCTGACCTGGTCGATGGTAGACATAGTATGCTTCCAACCACACATGGGTTGCTATAGGCTATTGCTCCCCTTGCCTTTTCTGAGGGGGCCAGGTTCTGGCTCGTGGTCCCCGGTAGGCCCACAGAACTCCATACACATGACTGATGCCAAAGTCTAACATTAGCATATCAGCCTGGATAGCTCCGGGGAGCCTTCGGGTCTCACCCAAAAAATGATTTGTTTTTTTAAGTATTGTACATTATTTAAAATTTAAAATAAAAATTACAAATACACTGTTGGAGAATGAGGCATAAAGTGGAATTTATATATTGTTAATAGACCTAACATTTAAATATTATTAAATCTTTAAAAAACTAAGAAATATCATAACATATTAACTTACTAGCAATGTAATATATATATATATATATATATATATATATATATATATATATATATATATATATATATATATATATATATATATATATATAAACTATATATATATATATATATATATATATATATATATATATATATATATATATATATATATATATATATATATATATATATATATATATATATATATATATATATATATATATATATATATATATATATATATATATATATATATATATATATATATATATATATATATATATATATGTCGTACCTAGTAGCCAGAACTCACTTCTCAGCCTACTATGCAAGGCCCAATTTGCCTAATAAGCCAAGTTTTACTGAATTAATATATTTTCTCTAATTTTTTTCTTATGAAGTGATAAAACTACCCATTTCATTATGTATGAGGTCAATTTTTTTTTATTGGAGTTAAAATTAACGTAAATATATGACCGAACCTAACCAACTCTACCTAACCTAACCTAACCTATCTTTATAGGTTAGGTTAGGTTAGGTAGCCGAAAACGTTAGGTTAGGTTAGGTTAGGTAGGTTAGGTAGTCGAAAAAACATTAATTCATGAAAACTAGGCTTATTAGGCAAATCGGGCCTTGCATAGTAGGCTGAGAAGTGAGTTCTGGCTACTAGGTACGACATATATATATATAGGTAACTATATATATATATATATATAATATATATATATATATATGCACTTCTCAGCCTATATATTTGCCTATATCCCAAATAATATATTTTCTCTATATATATATATTTATATATGATATATGGAGGTATATATACCTAACCAATATATATATAATATCTTTATAGGTTAGGTTATATAGGCTGAGAAGTGCGTTCTGGCTACTAGGTACGACATATATATATATATATATATATATATATATATATATATATATATATATATATATATATATATATATATATATATATATATATATATATATATATGTTGTACCTAGTATATATATATATATATAACGTAGATATATGACCGAACCTAACCAACCCTACCTAACCTAACCTAACCTATATATATAGGTTAGGTTACAAAAAAAGCTAGGTTAGGTTAGGTTATATATATACTTGGCTTATTATATAGTAGGCTGAGAATATTATATATATATATATATATATATATATATATATATATATATATATATATATATATATATATATAAATATATATATATATATATATATATATATATATATATATATATATATATATATATATATATATATATATATAAAATATACGGCACTTCACAATCTTGTTGTTTCATCTATGCTATATGCCATGGTTTATATTAATTAGGAAATTTCAACAGACTTCATACCACAGACACCAGTAACTGCAAGATCAAATTCAATTCAGTGTGATGGTACCAATATCAAGTCATTTGTTCCGGAGTCGCCCTCATCCTCACAAAGTACGCCTCTTTGCAAGACGAGTGCCAAGTTCACAGTGCCAGAGTCCCCGGATAATACATCTGCAGTAAAGGTTAGCATTATTACATGCATTCCATATATTGTTTCTTTACTAAAGGAATGCTGTATGTTGGTTTGGCAAGTTTTGAGCTTTTGAGTGTAGATAACTAGTGGACAACAGTCGACAACTTATCTGTACTCAATATAACAGTGTAACTAGAGATGGGCTGACTGGGGGACACCTCACTTGGTTGTCCACAATCAAAACATGTTGGTAAAAGGGAGACTCCCTAGTGAGATGGTGGGCAATGGGATATAAAACTGGGGACTATATTTTGCTCTTATTACTGTACTTTCAAATTAATTTGTGTATACTGTCCTGGAAAATGTTTAATTTTATTATGCTTCCTAATACTATATGAAACATTCAGGCAATTGTTTGTTTTTATTTCAGAATTTGGGTGATGATAAGGATGACAGCTTCTTCTTTGACCCTTCTCAACCTGCTAAAGAAAAGCAAGTTTGTAAAACACAAGCTTTATCTACTTTAGTTGTAAAGGAAGCATTGCAAACAGAAGGCTATAATAGTGATGCAAGCACTGATATTGAGGAGGATGATGTTCCTACTCAACTCTTCAGTGATGTGCATGATAGTGCTTCTGAAACTGATCTGAAATTGTACAAGACTAAAGAGGATACTGTCAAAAGTATTGACAGGGATATGTCTGATTCCGGCATAAACTTATCCAAAGATAATAGCAGTAAAAGTACAGGTGATGTTGACCAAGCCAGCATCGAGTTGGATGATGATATTTTCAATCAGCCGACCCAAGCGTTCCCTGTCTCTGATAAGTCTCTGAAAGTGACAAGTAATGTTGATGTGAATGACATGTCAACTTCATTTGAGAAAGATTCCGATAGTACCCAGGAAATTGTGAATGCCTTTAAACTACCAATAGTTAAAAACAGTATACAGTCCAATGTTAATGATGATACAGATACAGACGATGAAACAATGCTTCCAACACAACCATTTGTGGCAACTGAGAGTCCTTGCAGTAGTAGAGCTCAAGAGATGGATGATGACATACCAACACAGTTGTTCTTTGACACTGAAGACAAAGCTGTATTCAAGAAGCCTTTTGCTATGGCACCAAAGACCAAAAAATCGGCTCCAGAATTATTAACTGACAGGTGTAATAAAACAAATGAATCATTTAATGTAAATACTAATGAGGACATTTTGGATGCTCCCACTCAGCCATTTTCATCTGATGAGCAAAACCATTCAAAAATGACCTGTAATAATAATGATAGCATTTTGGATACACCCACCTTACCATTTGATGAACCAGACTCAAGTTACAATTTTCAATTACAAAACAGAGTCGTGCAAAATGAAAAGCATGGTGTCGCCAGTACTGCTGCTGACGAAGACAGTGATATATTTGACCAACCTACACAACCATATTCAGTTCTTAGAGATGTTGAAATGCTTGAAAACGACACTCCCACTCCATATTTTGAAACAACACCAGCAAATAGATTATTTAAGAAAGAGGACAAACATGATGACAAAAAAGAAAGTGATGATGAAATAGATATATTTAATATGCCAACACAAATGTATTCAACGCCCAAAGCTAATTCTAATGTAGAGCTTGTAATTGCAAAAAATAATCAGTCAAAAAATACAGGCTTGAGAAGCAAGAGAAGTGCTGCTCCCACTTGCTTAAATTTATCTCCTGTATCTGTCACAAAAGAAGCTGATGCTTACATTGACGATGACGATTTACCTCCAACACAGATATTTACCTCCCCTTCACTTTCACATAAAGCACCAGTACTAACAGAGGTGGATGACGATGATGATGATGTAGCCCCAACTCAGCCTTTTGTAAATGAAGAGGGCACAAAAGAGAGTGCTGGTGCTTTGAAGGTCTCTGAAAATTCTTCATGCCTTGGTGAAGCTGATTTTGATGCACCTACTCAGATATTTCAGGAAAAGTCTATAAATAAAGAGTTAGATGAACATGATGCACCCACTCAAATATTTTCTGATGATGATAAATTGAATACTGTTACACCTCAGAAGTTGTTGCCAGGTAAGTCAAAGAAAGATACCAGAGTTCTACCTCAAGGTATTTCTCAGACCTGGGACGTATTAGATGCTGATACGACACAGGACATATTCTTTGACGACGTTTTAGGCATTGATAAACCATGCTCGGTTACCCCTCAACAGAAAGATAAAGTTAGTGATGCTGACATCAATGATTCTGCTTTTGATACTTCAGAAATTTTAGTGAATCCAGTCGAGACAAATTTAAATGATGACATCTCTTCATGTTTAAATGCTGAAAAAGATAATAATTACTCCACAAAAATGGGTACATCTCAGGAAAACAAGAAAGAAGAGAGAGGCAGAATATTAGAAGATCTTAAAGTCAATAATTTAGAGATTAAAAAGCAGGAAATGCCCAAAACATACACAAATAATGAGAATGAGGGTTACAATTCAGATGAAAGTACAGATATTGAAAATGAGTTGGAGACCCCAGACAAAGTTTCAAAGCCTTCAGTGAATGTTGACAGTTCACATGGAAGTGAAATGTCGCATCTTGAACTAAGTATGGACTCAACTGTGCCTGAAAATAAAGACTGTATGACACCTTCAAGCATGACAAACTCTAACTCTAGTTACAAGAAAGAAAATGATGCAGCATCATCTCAAACTTCATTAACAAAAACTCAAGAACCACAGGCAGAAGCATCAGAAAGAGATAAAAAATCTTACCAATTTAAACGCGTGTCTAGAATGGCTGCTCCTGCAAAAACATCTCTTCTTACACCTCACTCAACAGAAAACCAATCAACTCCAGATTCTTCCACGTTAATTGATGCCACATTCTCGCTCATCGATTTGCCCGACAGTGAAGGTAGCGGAACTCATGAATCCGTTTGTGTTAAATTGCAGGCTCAAAGAAGTAAGGGAATGCTAAGTGACAGTGAAGGACACATGCTGAGTGACAGTGAGTCTGAAGATGGAAACTTCTCTCAGAAGTTGTTTGATTTGCCACCAGAGTTTGATGATTTGAAAACTGAAAAAAGTCAGGATGAAAACATGGGTGAAAGAGGAGATGAGGCTTCAGAAATGGCTATAGCAAAAGAGACGCCAAACAGGAAGAGCTCAAATATAGATCAAGAAACTAATAACACAAATATGGATGCTACCGAGGAAAAAATTAAAGTACAGGATAAGAAGAACCAAAAAAAAAAGATCAAAGAATGTAACAAAATAAAAGTTGAAGTAAAAGATGGTGATAAGGAAGAGATTAGTGAAGATCAAACCACGACCACCAAGTCTGTGAACAGAGTTGACAATTCAGAAAATGGCAGTTCTCCTACCCTTACTCATACAATAAGAAAGCCTAATACACCTGTAGATGTGGGGACATTACAAACATCTCATTCTGAAACTGATCTTGAATGCAGAAGGAAATCAAAAAGAAAAATTGATTATAATAATAAATCGGGTAACAAGAGTGAGGAAATTGTTGAATCTCCCACGAAAAAAATAAAAAATCGTAATGCCAGCAAACCTAAAAACAAAGTTGATACAGAAGAAACACAGCTTGAATCCAAAACAGTACAACCAAATACAACAAAGGCATACTTGGAAAAGGATGATGCTCAGTTATCAATGATTGTTGAGAGTGAACCTCCTGAAATAGAAGTGGTCACACCTAATGGCTCAGCTCTTGGTAATACAGATAAAGAACAGAAAATTAAAAATGAAGATGCTAAGATAATTGGAGCTGGTAAAATGTCATTAAGAGGACAAAAGATTATTAATAAAAAAGAAGAAAATGAGAATTCATTGCCTGTACTAGATAAAAGGAAAAGTAGAACTACAAAAATTAATTTAGAAGAAAGTACAACAAAACGTGGGACAAGGACTAAGTGTAAAAAACCTATGAGTGAATCATTAAACATAGATTCCTCTACTTCACTGGACAGTGTGATTGAAGTAACAATAGATGATGTTCAAAACATCCGCCACAGTGTTCGTAGAAGAAATAATTCCGACTCCAGTACTGTCAGCAACTTAAGCATCGGTAGTAATAGAAGTGTAACTAGGAGTGCTGCTACAACCATAACCGGGTTAACCGATCCTACTGTGAAGGGAAGAAGAGGTAAGGCAGCAGCTGAAAATGAAAGTGACCCAAATATATTGCCTCAGTTAGTGGGGGATGATGAAGATAAATTCAAGACAAGCAAGAGGAAATTTGTACCCAAACTGCATGACAGAAATGGTGAAAATGAAGAAGAAAAGAAAACGTATTTAGTTACTGAAACGGGGAACACTAAATCTGGTGTCAGTACAAATAGTGGCAGGACAAGAGGGAGTAGGAGAAGTAGGATTCCTGATCCTCCTGTGGCAGAAAGTGACAACAATAAGACTAGAACAAAAACAAATGTAAATAAGGACGACTCTGTTGTGGAAGTCAATATTGAGAAAACTGATGAGACAATAATTAAAAAACCAGAGTTAGATGCAGAGTTGAAAGAATTGGAAAATCCAACTTACTTACGGGCCAGGAGCAGCAGATCCCGAAAGGAGCCAAAGAGATTTTCTCCCGAGCGAGTTAAAACTCAAGCATCACAAGAAACAAAAGTTAGAAGTAGTGGCCGGATCAGGAAATCTGATATTTCAGAAAATATTGGAGAACTTTCCAAAGCATTACCGGTAAAGAGAGGAAGAAAATCAACCATGCCTAACCTTTGTGCATCTAAATCAACAGAGAATGACGAGGAAGTAGAAATAGTTGCAACAAGACAAAGAAGTATACAAGGTGCAAGTGTTGTCATTGGTGATTTTAAAAACAAAAAAGGAGGTGTACAAATTGTCAAAAAGGAATGCAGGCCTATTGCTGCAAAAACCTTTGTTTTACAGGGAAAAAAAGAAAGTTTACAAGAGGCAGACATCCAGAAAAAGAGGACAGGACACGAACTAGCATCAAAAGCTTCTCGCAAGACCCGGGCTAGCATTCACACATCACATCTTCCTTCTAATGTAGATCCAATCCCTGCCAAAAAAACAAGGAGCAGTATAATTGCTGAAAAGGGCAAGGGCAAAGATATTATCAATTCTTTAGAGTCCAAAATTATGTCCCAGAGAGATAAGATGACCAAGAATTTTTCTACCAAAGAGAAAAATGCACAAGAAGGTAATAGTGAAGTAGCAAGAAAGCTCCAGGTTACTGAGATGGATATTGCAAAAAGAGGAAGACAACAAAATAAAGGATTAAGTAAAGACACTACAGATGATGAAACATCAAGTCAGTCAAGTGAAGACAGTCATCTTTCTCAAAGATCCAAGAGGAAAAGGGGCAGTGATGATTCCGTGGATCAGCTGTTATCTACTCCAAAATCTTCCAGAAGTGGAAGAAGTCGATTGGTGAGTTTATTTTTTATATCACCACTGTCTTGTCATGATATGAAGGATATCCCTAAGTAGACTTGTTTACAAATATGTAAATTTGTATGTGGCTTATTGTGTGTATGCAGACTTACACCTTGTCCCCTATTTTCTCAGCAAATTCTAATTGCTCCTCTTCTTTGCTTTAGGATATGGTGGACAGTTGGTAATGGGCTCAGTGGGAATTATCTAGTTCAGAGAATTGTTTGTTGAATGGTTATTTTGAAACATAGTCTTGTAGGGGAGTTAAGGTTTAAATAATTTTCTATTTTTAGCAATTGACCTTGGAAGTGGGTTGATTTCATGGCATGTAATAAAGTGTCACTTAGTTCATATACAATACATGTATATTTATTTTCTTACTTCTCATAAAAATATACACTACAATCCAATTTTTTTTATGATACATGTATTGACTGGTTACCTTGAGGTTACCTTGAGGCGCTTCCGGGGCTTAGCGTCCCCGCGGCCCGGTCGTCGACCAGGCCTCCTGGTTGCTGGACTGATCAACCAGGCTGTTGGATGCGGCTGCTCGCAGCCTGACGTATGAGTCACAGCCTGGTTGATCAGGTATCCTTTGGAGGTGCTTATCCAGTTCTCTCTTGAACACTGTGAGGGGTCGGCCAGTTATGCCCCTTATGTGTAGTGGAAGCGTGTTGAACAGTCTCGGGCCTCTGATGTTGATAGAGTTCTCTCTCAGAGTACCTGTTGCTTAAAAGGGAATATATTTGACTGATATTTGTTCTTAAAATCATTGATTTTTATAGCTACAGAGAGTATATGTATATGCAGTATACATAAACCTATTTATTGTATTGTAGGTGTCATGTGTTTATTTTACAGGGGTCACCCTCCTCAAAGGACATTATACTGTGGTCACCGTCGCAGAGACAGCAGCAGGCAAGCACCAAGCCAAGAGTTCTCTTCACAGGCTACATGGATGCACAAGATGTGAAGATTGTCACAGATTTTGGTAAGAAAGTCAATTTTTAACTCTTGTACATCCTAAACCTTGCTCATTTTATATTGCTTCGTTTGGAATACAGTACTGTACTTCCTTTTAGTGGTTGTGGGACTGTTTTCTCCAATGATCTAGATGGCAGTTAAATGACTTGTGAAACCCCCACATATGGCCAAAGATTAGAGACAGTGTTTAATATTCTAGGAACAAGCCCTATAGTTAGTTTGGGACATAGAGCCTCTTTTCCTCTGTTTGCAGAGGAAAGTTTTTCTTTTCCAGTTGGTGAGGTTGGGCTCAGACACTGAACCTTGCCCACCATTTAAATTATTACTTATGCTTTTAAAACTTATCACAATGTTCCTGTTCAGTTTAGTTAAATGGTTTTTCTGAATCCATAAAGGCAGCATAACATTTTCTCACCCTTGCTGGAAACTTTTCTAAGTCAGTCTGACAGTAAAAAATCTGGTATGTACAACCCCTCTCCTTAAAAAAAAAAAAAAAACACTATATGTTCCCTGTCCCACACTTTGTACCATTGCATAGACTCTTTGGGGTGAATACAGCACCCAGTAAATTATCCCCCCCCCCCCCAAATTGATTTCACATTCTCTTTTCCTTATACGGGTTCAGTATACCCAGTATAGGGACCATACTGACCATAGTCCAGTCCTCTGGCACCTCACCCTCCTGCCTCACCATATGACATACATCATGTCCATTATCACCTCACACCCACACTTCAACATATTTGCAGTCATCTATACATAAAATAGAATGTGTTTGTCTGCCCGACGTTGGAAACCAGATGCTTGGGACTAGCCTCTCACAACTTTGCACGATGAAATGTGAATTATATGAAGTGTCATAGGGAGAGTTAGGGTTGATCCCCTAAGGGGGCCCTATGGTGCCCCCTTGAAATGTTCAGGCCAGATCTGTAGATTTTAGCGATTGTTTAAATTTTGGCTCATTCAGAAATTGTATTGACATGCAAGATGAATGTTTGCATGACAGGTTTACATTCTGGGCACAATGTTATGGTAAGTGATGGAAACAGTGTGCAGTGAAGATGGTTACAGTGATGGAGAAGACAGGGAGGGTAAAAATGGGCAGGATGTGTTTGGGAGGAAGCTTAACAAGTTCTCACTCTTTCTCCCAAACACTAAACACCTTTACCTTTTTTCAGCATTGACCATTTTTCTTATAATCTTCAACTACCGTGCTGCGCCGAGTTTATTGTGAAATTCCCCCAGTGCGCATGAAATAAAGTGTTCCCAAAAAATTATTTTTTCTTCGTAAAATGATAAATTCAATTTCCTAAACATGTCTATGTCAAATTAAATACCAAATTCCACTTACTTTGGCTGTGAGGACAAGGACAAGGTGCGCTGTGATGTCATCAGGGCCTGGTGGCCCGTGTGTGAATCACCCAAACACGGTCGTGCGGGCCATTTAACCCTTAAATGGCGCATGGCTATATACCATTTGACACCCACAGGCGCATAAAAAAAAATAAAAAAAAAATAAAAAAAATATTCTTCCTCACCTGTTAATTTGTCTACACCGATCATGGGGAAAATAGTAAAAAAAAATCGTAAGTGGCATATATTGCCCGCTATAGGGCGGGGAAGTCTGGCAAAAAACAGGTGCTGACTCAGCGTGCGTCCCAGGCGGTCTGTTGCTCGCCAGCTGTCAGGCCGGAGTTGCCACAAAGAGATAATTACCTAATTATTTCAATGTCTCTGATTGATTTTTCGTAGTTTTTTGCTGTAATATTATTCAATAGTGTGTAGTTTGATATATTTATATAATAAAATGAGTGAATCATTGCTGTACTCAAAAATATGGGTGCATATTGTTGATTCAATTATGTTCATCAAACAGTGAACAAATACTTTGTCGGTTATTACACTATATACACAGGTTATATATAAGTATCTGTATCACTGAAAATCCCTGATTCAATTCAGGGAATTGATTGCCTGAATTGAACCACCTGGGAGCAGTCCGAATGGAGCCTGATCGTCAATCCGCGAGCGACCCGAACCCTCCGAAGTGACATCCACACAGCCGCAAATACCCGCACCGTGCTGTGGGCCCAACAGAAGATCTGACCCCACCACCCCTGGCCGGCCTGGTGAGCACTGGTCACAAAGCCCCAGCCAAGAGACGATGCATCTGTGAACACATTGAGCAAGGGGCTCAGGTAGGTGTCAAGGCACCAAACCCCGAAAATTGCGAAGAAGAAATCGGTGGCGCGGGAACCGATGCAAACCCCCGGAGTCCGAACCTAACACTCGCGAGAGAGGCGGAAGGGACATCCCCGAAGGAACCAGAACAGCCGACGATGCCAAACCCGACCTGGGTAGACCATCACGGCAAAGTTCAGGTTCCCGCATAAACTGCAGAGTGACCCAGGAGCCCCCCAGAAACAAGCAAAGGCAGGAGCGCAGCTGCAGCACAGACTCCGGAGGAAGAGTCAAGGAAAAGGCCCAAGAGTCCCAAACAAGACCCAGCCAAGTCCAAACCTGAGAGGGAGCCAGATTCGACTTCCGCCAGGAACCCGAACCCGGCAAGCTGGGAAAGAACCAGATCTCTGGCGAGCAGACACATGGACAGCCCGGTGGACCAAGCTCTCACAAGTCAAGCCTGGCTTGGGGAGTAGGAGAACTTCCAGAACCCCAACCCCATCAAGCAGGACTGGCTGGGAGCCCAGACCAGCCAGTTGTCGAGGTAGGCCAACAACTGGAGTTCTAAGAGACGCAGACGGGCCACCACAACCCGGGTAAGGCGCATAAACACGCAGGGTGTCAGGTTCAACCTGAACGAGACAACGAAAGCGGTAACCAAGATGCCCCACAATAAAACCGAGACAATCCCTGAACCCTGGATGAATCGGGATGTGCCAATACACATCCCGGAGGTCCAGAAACACCATCAAAGCACCTGGCTCCAACAGAAGCCAGACCTGGGACAGAGTAATCATCTGAATAGAGGGGCAATAGACCCAGGGGTTCAGACGGGACAAGTCCAGAATGAATCACAGGTCTGCACAATCCCATTTCAGGACTGGGAGCAGACGAGAAACCCATCCGAGGGACGCCATCGTTTCGACCACACATAGCGAACCCACTCAAAGATGACCCAACACCCCTGAACCCCACGAAGGAGGATGACCCATCCAACGCTACCGCAGGTCGTCGGAAATGACCCGAAAAGCCCACAAATGGTGAGACCAGACGTGAGCAAACAGTGCGAGCCTCTCCCCATCGCCCCGTCAATGGGGGTAAACTGCGAAAGGGCCAATGCCCCTTGCGAAAATCCGACTTACACACAGAGCAATCATCTCACCGACCATACGAAGACGGTTCCGAAGGCGGCGTTGGCCCAGAAACTGGCACCAGCAGCCGACCACGACGAGAGGAACCTTGAGCCTTTCCCAGACGAACCCCCCCCCCAATGGGACCTTCGAAGAACCTACATGTCTGACATTGGATAACAACTAAAGAGGCTGCCTACAGAAACTGCCCAACTGTAGACTTTTCAAACAGCAAGGGACAAAATGGCGACAAAAACTTAAGAGCCAGGGCCCAAGCAGATTCCAACAAGGAAGCGAGTACAACCTGCCGACACGCGAGATGCGAAGTAAAAAACTGCAACACCACATCCCACAGGATCAGCGCAAACAACTTTAACAGCACATACGACGCACGCGCCGCCGAGACCAAGGCACCAGACCCAGGAATGGCCCCAGGCGCTTCCACATCCTTCTCAAGCCAATCGCAAGACAGGTCCAAGAGGGAAAAGAACCGAAAGACCAAAGCCATCAGGCCATGAGCATGCAAGTCCTTAGCCACCAATGCAGCCGAAAGGGAGAGAGGAAACCGGCACATGAATTTGAACCACGCCAACATCCCGCTGAAGGGCAGGGGCGAACAAACATGCATTGAGGTGCACGAATTCACCCCAAGGTAAACCTGGACCATTGTCAACGCCTCGTGCCACTCAAGTGTGTGGGTACAACAGAAAGTACTCCACGCATTCAACGGCAACACAGGGCAGTCCTCTAGCCAGGATGACTCCAGAACCTTATAACAAACCCAATATGGAGACGAAGACCCAAACCTGAAGGAAGACTGATCCATTATAGAGGCATAATTCAGGTCGCACAGGAGATAAGCCACAATGGCCGCCTGACCTCGGTGCAGGACACAGGAAGCTGAAAACCTCTGGAAGGACAGAACCGATGGCCCTGAAGAGACACTGAACCGATGGCCCCGAAGGAACACTGAAGCGATGGCCCCGAAGGGACACTGAACCGATGGCCCCAAAGGGACACTGAACCGATAGCCCTGAAGGGATACTGAACCGATGGCCCCGAAGGGACAGGGAACCAAACCCGGGGAGGGGCCGACACCAAATCCAACTCATACGCAGAGGGGAGCAGGAAACACCCACTTCTAGTAACAGTAAACCCTGCTAGGAGGTTAGGAAAACCCAGGTGGGGTCCAATGGGGCCCAAGGCCCCCAAGTCAGCCCCTCCCCAACCCAGGGAACCTCCACACTAGGATCCGGGGCAGAGTTGTCCTCCATAGTCCCGGCCTCACAAGAAAAAGCCGGGGCAGTCAGAAAGGCAGGAAGGAAGGGGGCCAACTGGCCCAATCCAGCCGCCACGGCTGGAGAAACTGACTCGAATGCCTGCGTTGTCCCCTCCCCCAGGACAGGGCAGCCCCAGAAACTGCTAGTCTCAGAACCTTCTAAACCCTGCCCTGATTCCAAAGCCTTCAGACACTTTGGAGCTGGAAGCAGGAGGTGGGGAGAGCAGAATGAACCAAAGGAGGGGAAGAACAAGGGGGTGCAGACTAAACCAAGGCCGAAGCGACCAGCACCCCCAAGCTCGGGGTCCCTACCAGCAAAATGGGGCAGCCTCAGGGCTTCCGGGGTAGCAATCAACTGAGCGCATTGCAGCAACCTATATCTAGCATGCAACGCCTGAGCCCCCTGCACCTGGATAGAGTCATCAGTGGACAGGGTGAACTGAGTCACAAACAAGGAGCAAAACTCGCAGGATTCAGGGTCGAAGGTGTCACCGACCCAACAAGCAGCATGACACAGGTAAAAACAGTGAGTCACCTTGAGACAAGGGGACAGAGCAATAATCAAACCCGAGAGGGGACCCAGGGGTCACATCCATCGGACCCCTTACGCCCCTGCGAGATTTTCCAGGGCCCTTAGACTGGTATTGTTAAGGGTAAACCCAGGCAGGGTACTGCAAATCTGCACCCAAGTCTACCAATCAAACTGCTAAAAGCTGAACCCCCAGGACATGTCCATTCACTGGGGGGGGGGAGCTAGCAGGGGGTACCACCCAAAAACACAGATATATATAAACCTAAAGGACAGATAGGGGGCAATGAACCAAAGTCAGATCCCCCCCCCCCCCCACCAGGCACGAAAACAGAAACAAAAGAAAAACCCCCGCAAGAGGACAATGTACCCAGGCAGAAAAGAGCTGGCCGCTATAATAGGTGATACCTAGCTGTGTAGTACCCCGTGCCCCTACCAGTGCAAACTACCCTTTACCCTAAGGTAAACAAGGGAGGAAACCCCCCTCCCCCCAGCACACTCAGTAATTGACTCAGGGTGGTCAATTACTGAGCAGCAAAAGACCAACAGAGGTAGACCCCAAGGTGACCTGTGGAAGATAATCCCAAGCCCCAAGGGCAGTACTTACAGGGCACTTAGGGAAGAGAACCCTAAGCTCATGCAGCCTGAGTACCTGTGAAGATTACTCCCAGCTCACGAACCCCCCTCTAGACAGCACCGACAACAAGAAACAGGAGCTGGAGTCACGCGACCATGCCTCAAGCACATCAGCCTAGAACTGGGGTGTGGGTAGCCAACATGAGAGGTCTGGGGCTCCCCCTCCCCCTTCCCCCTCCCAGTTAGGGGGGGAGGTGCGAGATGAAGGCGCAGCACCTGGTGACGTCATGCTCGGTTGCTTGTGTTTCTTTGGGGAGTTCTGTCCACTCGTTTGACTTTTAGTTGTAGTTTCAAAAAGAATAGGGGTTTGTTTTGGGATGCTTACCTTTTTGGGTGCCTGATCCAGCCAATGGCAGACATAGAATGCTCCAAAACCATATGTGCATTTCTATAGGCCAGTGCTCCTTGTGCCTCTTTGAGGGGAGCCAGGTTCAGGCTCATGGTCCCTGGTAGGCCTAGAACTCCATTCACATTGATGCCTAAGTGTAATATATCCATATCAGCCTGGCAAGCTCTGGGGAGCCTCCGGGTCTCACCCAGAAAAATGGCATTTCATTACATTCAACGCTGGTTTTTTAGTATTACTTTGTCACATCATATTTATGTAGTCAGTTAGTGACATACTTCCTCATGTCATAAACTTTATTTCTCACAATATTAGGAAAGTTACTGTTTCAATTTCTTGCAACTGATGTTCATATAATGGTTGTACAGTAGTTGAGAAAGTTTAAAGGTACAGATATAGAACATTTTTAATTTTACCTTCATTATAGTGTCTTAAATGAAATCTGCAAAATATTATACATTATTTTTTGAGTTTGTAGTACACAGTCAGATACTTCGTACTTGAGTTTCTATTATGATTTCAGGAGGAACAGTTGTGGAGAGTCCACGAGAATGCACTGTTCTCGTCACAATAAATATTCGTAGGACCTGCAAGTTGCTGGCTGTCATTGGAAGAGGTTTACCTATAGTTTCTCCTGCGTGGCTGTCTGCTTCAAAGTTAGCACGAAATTTTGTTGGTATGTAGAATAATGGTTTGTTTCTTATTACAGTAATATACAGTACTATATTTGTGAGAGAGAAGGCAAAAATAATCTTCATAAGCATCACTTAACCTTAATTCTATGTTGCTCTCCCACTTTCCTCTTCATTGTTTTCACCCAAGCCTATGAAAATGAGAATTGATGATGATGATGATTCTAAATACAGATTATTATTAATTTATTCAACTGTATTAAAATTAATATTTCATAATACAGATTTTATTTATCATGAAGTGTGCTGTTCTAAAAAGACAGCAAATGCTGTACTTTATTGATTGGTCTTGGGAAATTGAATTGCATCTACTTGAACATATATAATTTATCAACCACAGATCCTTGGGAATATTTGGTGAAAGACATGGAGGCAGAGGAAAAGTATGGATTCCGGCTGGACCAATCCCTTCGTTCTGCATCTAAGGTTTTGCTCTTCGAGGGACTGTCAATTCATGCTACTCGGTCTGTAAAGCCACCACCTGACCAGATGAAAGGTGAGATACTGTGCCCAAATTAGCATCGAGTTTTGTGATTTACTCAGTTCTGATATTAAATGAAACCATACAATGACGTTACTAGGTAAACAAACCCACAAGGGCCTGACAGCTGAGTGGACAGTGCTTCAGATTGGTAGTCCTGAGGTTCCAGGTTCGATCCCCGGTGGAGGCGGAAACAAATGGGCAGAGTTTCTTTCACCGTGATGCCCCTGTTCACTTAGCAGTAAATAGGTTCCTGGGAGTTAAGACAGCTGCTACGGGCTGCTTCCTGGGGGATGTGTAACAAAAGGGAGGCCTGATTGAGGACCGGATAACGGGGATGCTAATCCCCGAAAATCATCTCGATATAACCTCTCAGGGCCGTGATGAGGGTTTGAACCTACGTCCGAGAAGATCCCGGACGCGCCTTAATCGACTGTGCCACGACATGGTAAAAGAATTGCAACTGGGAGTTCTACTGACCTCACACAGATCCTGCGGTCTCTCCGAGACACAAACCAAGGTTTTACACAATTCCCCCATGCACCCGGGCTCTGTCAACAAGCTATTCTACCTCTTTGCCCTTACTTCAATATACACAAATCATAATAGCGTGATGCATCAAATGAACAAATGTGCCTTGTGCCGTGATTCACGGTCCATCACGGTTCACATCCTTGTGAACCATTACAAGGGTCATGATGGTTTTTTTAACCATGTCGTGGCACAGTCAATTAAGGTGAGTCTGGGATCCTCTAGGACGTGGGTTCGAACCCTCATCATGACATTTGTGGATTTGATCATTTGATACATCACTCTATTGTGATTTCTGTGTGTAAAATTACTAGGTAGTTGACTGGTTGGATTTTATTGTTTAAAGGAGTGTGCAACAACTTTAATCCTTAAACTGCGCAACACATCATATGATGTGTTCAGTAACTTGCTATAAAATGCGCATCCCATCATATGATGCATTGGAGTACTACGCAAGATTTAAACGGCCTGCGGATACACGGGGTTCACCTCACCTTCATCAGGGCTCTTGTAAACAGACGCCATTTTTTTTTAAATCGTGGGCCAAATTCCCGGATGTGAGGGCCTCAGTATTGAGTGAGCCACCAAGCCTGATGCACGCAGCATGAGCTCACAGTACTGCTGTTCAGCTTGTGACCACAGCATCGCCTAAAAATGCCATAATATATATGTTCATGCTATTATTTAGCGATGATAGTATTACAGAAGACCCCTGACTGTGATAAAAATGACCAGGATTCTGATAATAGCAGGATTGTTGTGATAATTAGTGCTGTAGTGGGAGGAGTAATCTTGGTGGGGAGGGAGGTAGCATTGTCTGCTGACTCTGTGTGACCATCTTTTACTGTCTGGACTCGCTATACCAGCTTAGTCATTCGCTGTGATGAACAAAACATGCAGATACTTACATATAATGTCTGTATATAGTGAATAAAAGCAAAAACAGTATTGTGGGAGGAGAATGGTGGCGAGTCAGGTGAGGTTATCTTGAGGTTATCTTGAGATGATTTCGGGGCTTTAGTGTCCCCGCGGCCCGGTCCTCGACCAGGCCTCCACCCCCAGGAAGCAGCCCGTGACAGCTGACTAACTCCCAGGTACCTATTTTACTGCTAGGTAACAGGGGCATAGGGTGAAAGAAACTCTGTCCAATGTTTCTCGCCGGCACCTGGGATCGAATCCAGGACCACAGGATCACAAGTCCAGCGTGCTGTCCGCTCGGCCGACCGGCTTCCTTGGGATGGTGAGGTGAGGGATGGATGGAGAACGTGGCAGCCAGTGGCGGGCTGCCACTACCACTGCCACTCAGCATACCAACTTAGTGGTTCGTTATGGTGAATACGAATAGAGATACAGTACAACCTCGATTCAACGTACTATATGGGACCAACTCCAGTTCGTTGGAGCGTTGGATTCATTGCAAGAGGTGACCTTCAGGAGGCATTTGTGTCAGTGTCTCTTTTTTTTGTACACAATAAAAATGCATTATCATATTACATACTCTACCTATATATTACTTCTCTACTAAAAAATACTGTAATTCATAAATTTACCTTGTTGTTGGAGTTATGTCCATCTTGAAGTTTCGTAAAGTTGTGAATGCTCTACAGTAAATACGTACTGTAGTGCATTATGCCGTTAGCACTGTGTTGATTAAAAGTAGTTCTGCTGTATGTTGAGTACTACAATACAGTTTATGAAAACTATTGTACATTAAAATTACTGCAACTTTAATTTTAACACTGTGTACACACTTAAATTTAACACTTGTTCTAACTATTCACGCCACACACGATGTTTTTAGATGTTTGCATCAGCTTTGCTGGTGCTCGCCGCTGCTGTGGGTTCAGCTGCTTCTGAGCTGGTGCTGGCTGCTGTTGTACCAGTGTTGGGTACGGCTGTTCTCGTGCTGGGTACGGCTGTTCTCGTGCTGGGTACGGCTGTTCTCGTGCTGGTTACGGCTGTTCTCGTGCTGGTTACGGCTGTTCTCGTGTTGGGTACGGCTGTTCTCGTGCTGGTTGATTTTCTGCTACTAGCTCTTGCAAAATATTGCTTCATTTTTGGCATTAATAAGGCACTATTAGTAAGCCCCCGAGACATTTTGTTTTATAACCAAAGAGCTGTAGTAAAAAAATGGTCAATTCCACAATTATTCTTCCACCAGCGGATAAATACTGTACGTCAATCGCAGACAAAGCTAAGGGCACTGGGTGCATACTGTACGAACGCAGACTAAGTCTATACGTACACCTTCAATAGGCTGGTGTTTAAGCCTGATCCAGTAACATAAATTTCCCTTAACAATTCAATTTACATCAAATTATATATTTTTGGGTTATATATTTAGTTTAGCAACATTATTACGATAATAAGAGCTATAAAAAATACTTATTTTGGAACTGATTTATTAATTTTATTATTTCGAAGCCATAGGTCACTGAACTGTGGCGACGAAATCGAACAAAACACTGCCTGGTGTTGTGTTCGATTTCCAGTAACATATTTCTCTCAAATATTCAATTTACATCAAATTATATATTTTTGGGTTACATATTTAGTTTAGCAACATTATTACGATAATAAGAGCTATAAAAAATACTTACTTTGGAACTGATTTATTAATTTTATTATTTCGAAGCCATAGATCGCTGAACTGTGGCAACGAAATCGAACACAACAAGCATGGTGTTGTACTCACCTAATTCTACTCACCTAATTGTGCTTGCGGGGGTTGAGCTTTGGCTCTTTGGTCCTGCCTCTCAACTGCCAATCAACTGGTGTACAGATTCCTGAGCCTACTGGGTTCTATCATATCTACATTTGAAACTGTGTATGGAGTCAGCCTCCACCCCATCACTTCCTAGTGCATTCCATTTATTAACTACTCTGAGACTGAAAAAATTCTTTCTAACGTCTCTGTGGCTCATCTGGGTACTAAGTTTCCACCTGTGTCCCCTTGTTCGTGTCCCACCCGTGCTGAAGAGTTTGTCTTTGTCCACCCTGTCAATTCCCCTGAGAATTTTGTAGGTGGTTATCATGTCTCCCCTTACCCTTCTGTTTTCCAGGGATGTGAGGTTCAGCTCCTTTAGCCTTTCCTCGTAGCTCAATCCTCTCAGTTCCGGGACGAGCCTGGTGGCATACCGCTGAATCTTCTCTAACTTTGTCTTGTGTTTAACTAGGTATGGACTCCAGGCTGGAGCTGCATACTCCAGGATTGGTCTTACATAAGTGGTATACAGGGTTCTGAAAGATTCCTTACACAAGTTTCTGAAGGCAGTTCTTATGTTGGCCAGTCTAGCATATGCCGCTGATGATATTCTTTTGATGTGGGATCTACTTACTCATTCCTATGGGGGCTTCAACTTTGACTTCCCTTATTTCTGACTCATTCAGGGTGAATATCAAGTCGAGTCTAGCTGGTTCATCATTGCCTCTCATTCTTCTGGGTTCCTTGACATGCTGGCTCAGAAAATTCCTTGTTGCCACTTCCAAGAGTTTAGCTCGCCACGTATCTGCACCACCATGTGGGTCCCCATTCTCCCAGTCTATCTTTCCATGGTTGAAATCACCCATGATTAAGAGTCTTGAGCCATTCCTGCAGGCAACTGAAGCTGCTCTCTTTATTATATTAATGGTTGCCATGTTGTTCCTATCAAACTCCTGTCTAGGTCTTCTGTCATTTAGGGGAGGGTTGTAAATGACTGCCACTATTATCTTAGGTCCACCCATTGTTATAGTTCCTGTTATGTAATCTCTGAATCCGTCACAGCCCGGAATTTCCATCTCGTCAAAACTCCAATCCTTTGGAGTCCTTTGGAAACACAGCATCTGTTATGATTCCTGACAATTTTGTTTCCGTTAGTCCTATTACATCTGGGTTTTCTTCTTGCACCCTTTCTTGCACCTCTTGCTTTATTGGTAATCCCATCAATGTTTGAGTACATTACCTTGAAGCTCACTATCTTATATCCAATTTCACCCACACTCCCTACAAGTGTAGGAGGTTGTTCTATGGTCATTGCTACTTGGGTAGGCTCATCCTCCTGTGAGGTAGTTTCCAGGGGTTCAGGGGGAGGTGGAGTGGGGGGTGGAGGGCTTAGGTCTTCCTCAGGCCTGCTTGGAGCAGGAAGAAGTCCTGGGGGTGAGGGAGCAGGGATTGCTTGGGGAGAGGGCACGCCCTCCTGCGGTGTAGTTGACGGGTTTGGAGGGAGGTGGAGTGGGGGATAGAGGGCTTTGGTCTTGCTCAGGCCTGCTTGGGGCAGGGAGAAGACCAGGGGCTGGGAAAGCAGGGGCTACTTGGGGTAAGGGGAGGGGGAGGATTTGGGTTTCTTGCTGGTGCTTGCTGGTGCACTTAAGTTTAAGTGTTGTATGGACAGGAATTAGACCTGTCCACTCGTGCTGGAGTTGTGCTGCCAATAACGTGAATAATTTCTCAAATAGGAGATATCTATCTTATTACAGTATATTTTTGGTTTTATTTAGTTTACTTTAATTAGGATAATAAAGAGTTATTAAAACACCAGTTTTAGAAATGATTTATTAATGTGAAACGTTCAAAGCCATGGGTCACTGGACTGTGACAACACAGACGAAAGTGAGTGAAACCTCACTGTAAAGTGAGATTTACTGTACAGTATTCCCTTATCTGTCCACCCTCACTCGTCTTGTTTCATCACAGAAAATGTATATAAGAAGATTTCAACATATTAGCTAGCTATTCACGCTTCAGCCTTTAAATTAATTTACAAAGATACGTGTGCCACAAATCGGTGAACGAAAATCATTGAAACTCAGTCGTTCACTTGTGTGGACGACTCTGGCTGGTGTTTGGTTAATATACGTCACTTCTTGTGGATCATTCTGGCTGGTGTTTGGTTAATATGCATCACTTCTTGTATGGACCATTTTGGCTGGTGTTTGGTTCATATGATTCAGTTGTTGTGTGGTCCACTTGTGTGATCCAACTTGTCTTATGAAGGAATTATTAATTGTAATCTGTGATAGAATGAAACAGTTTTCCACCACTCTGTGAACTCTGTCCCAACATCGTAAGCTTGTGGACCACTTGTGTGGTCCATTTGTGTTATCCAACTTGTCATATGAAGGAATTATTAATTGTAATCTGTGATGGTATGGTAAAGTTTTTCTACCACTGTGAACTCTGTCCCAACATCGTAAGCTTGTGGACCACTTGTGGACCACATGTGCGGTCCACTTGTGCTGTGCACTTGTGTGATCGAACTTGTCATATGAAGGAATTAATAATTGTAATCTGTGATAGAATGTGAAAGTTTTCCACCAGTCTGTGAACTCTGTCTCGACGTCGTAAGCAAATCCGAACATCCCCCGCTTCGGCGAACCATTGTTCGTCGAACCGGGTGAGTAAATCCGGCCTGAAAAGTGTGCGAACTAGCTGGAGATTCGTTGAATCGAGGTTGTACTGTAATTAAAAAAAAAAAAAAAGGCCAAACCCCACTATTACAGGTATATGTTTCTCTGTCTTAAGTAAGTTCTATTTCCCACTCCTTTTATCTCTTAATTGTACATCTCTCTCCTGTTTTTCAGTTGTCATGCATTCTTGCCTCTCAGTACAAATGATGCCTACTGTACCAACATGATAGGACTCATAAGTGTGTGTATAACATTTAGCTAACACACCAGTATACCTGACATGTACATTCTGGTGCTGTTCTCATTCTTTTTCACTTTTAACAGTATCGCTCGCTTTAAACACCGATCACGTCCATTTTTTTTTCTCTTGAGTCCCAGTCGTGGACAGGACTTGCGTCCACTACAAAAATATTTGTATAAAATTCATTTTTTATCCGATCGACCTCGGGATAGTTTCAAAATAAGCTCCTTTAGAATGCGCACAATTTGATACCAAAATAAAAGATGTAACACAAAACTTGATGTCAAAACACTTCAAAAGATTATAAATACGTTTTTGGGTCTAAATTTTAAATTCTAAAATGTTTGCTAAAATTCTATTTATTGTGCTATTATTATGGGACTAGTTTTAAAATGCGCGCCTTTATATTGTGAACAAATTGATACCAAAACGAGCGATGTAACATGGAAATTGATGTTATCAAACTGAACGAGTATACACATTAGATTGTGGTGTGCAAATTGGTGCTCGTTCACAGGTAATTTTAGGCTTTGCTGCGGGGAGTCTCGCCAGGTTTTTTGACATTATATGCATATACATCTGCAGGGAATTTAATTGCAAACACAATGATACCAAAAGGAACGACGTAGCACGAGAATTAAGGTGAGCCCGCACCATTAGCCCCATGACGTCAAAGTCTGCGGCGCTCACGTGGCGCGGGCAATAATGTTAAAAACAGGCTTCAGTAAAACTTTATTTATACTGTATGTACATTGAAGTAACAAAAACAGGTATGTAAATCTAATTACATTATGAAAGTTATGATGCCTCTTAATGTATATTTGAGGAAATATTCTTGCAATTAACATGTGATCGTACCAGTGAACTCCTGGTACATAATATGCGGTCCTCGTTTTTCACCAACAAAGTAGGGAAAGAACAACACAATGATGAATGCAATGTTTAATTTTTATACATGAAGAAACATGGTAATGTTTGTGTATGAACACATTGTACACAACTTCGTAAATTATATTCCTGTTAATTTTAGTTAACATGAATGAATGAACTTTAGTAGTTCTTGTTTGTGGACATTCATTGGCCTTTGAATGCAATTAGGAATTTAAGTGTCTATAGAAGCAGAGGATCATTTCTGAGTGAATGGTATTAAAATTTAGGGCTTTTAAAAAGTATGGTCTCTCATGAACTTTCCCTTATGTCTTTTTATATATATTTTATGCAGTGATGCTAGGTCTCTTGCGACTACTATAGAAATATAACAACTGTTTCATCCACAGAAATCATTGAGTGCTCTGGTGGAGAGTACTTGGATATGCCCCCAAAAAAATATGCACCACAAGTGAGAATAGTCTCCTGCCCAGAAGATAAGAAACTCTGGACTTCCTATAAAAATCTGGGGATTCCTATTCTTGGGACAGAATTCATCCTCACAGGCCTACTGCGCCATGAACTACTTTTGGACGAATTCCCACTAGGGTAGTGGGTAATGACATGCATAACTTACATATTACTTTTATGCATGTTCCCAAACTAATAATGTCATTGTAATGACAATTGTTTATGTGGAGGTTGCATTTGTTAAAAGTACCTGATGGTTACATTCTTTAAACATTTTAGTACAGATGGACATTATAATAAACTATTAGGTTATTTTTTATAAATATTCCTTATTTTGTTTTGAATGTTAAAAAAATCTAGATCCTGAGGCTGTAAAGAAAAGGCCTAAGTTGCTAAAAGATGTGTCTTGCAGCTGCTCTACATCATTCATTCTTTTAAGGCATTGATTGCCCATACAGGAAAATGTTTGAAAGGGATGACAAGACAAATGTAACTAAATAAATAAAAAATTATTAAGTGATATGAAAAATATTTCTATATTTACTTTTTTAAACGTGTCTAGTATAATTTTAGAAATGTAGCATTGTAAATGCTACTCTGGAGTTGATAGTATGCTATAACTTAGTAATATAATCTTGTAACAACTGTTACCCATTTAAAAGAATAAATTTTTGTTGCTCTTGAGTTTCGTATATTTTCCGTAACAGAATTTTTCCCATTTAAGCAGACCAGCCTTTTTGTCTAGGCAGTAATGCAGGCCACCGACCTGTGTCCCATTTAGAAAGTTGAATGAATCTAAAGTTCTTCAAAAAGGATGAACGATGGAACTTACACAATATCAGACCTAACACTTGGTTGAAATCATCTACCTGATTCAAACCCAGAAAGTAATTGGTTAGTCACAGAATCTATATGGAGTGATGTCATGCTACAGTGAGCCAGACCTTGAGAAACAGAGGCACGCTTCATTTCATCTGTACCAGTAAGTTTAGGTTGTTAACCAGCCTAACAAAATTCATTACTTGTACAGTGCTCCATATATAAAACTTCAACTGTTTTGTATCAAAAGATCTTTCAAATTAAGATTGTAAATACATCATTTTGGGTTAATGTTAAGTAGATGCTTCTTGACACCGCTTTACCATGTCTAGCAATTTTCCACTTTTTGAGAGTTGTGTTGTTTCTGTTCCTCCTCCAATACACTTGCCACCAACAAATACTCGAGGAACCTGAGAAAGATAATACAAATTACTGTACCGTTTTTATCAATACGTCCCCTCCCCCATAACCTCCCTTCAATACAATTCTTAAAAGGGTAATTCTGCCATTTGCTGCACTAATTTGATTAATATTACATTGTTAAAATCTCCACACAATCAGTTTACATGATCATGCTAACAAATAATTTAACCATATCAAGCCATATCTTAAAGATACATCCCTCTATATTCCTCACTAAGCACTCTGCAACCAGGCTACAGTTATACATTTTTAGGGGAGAAATAATGCACCCAATTTCTGTGGAACCTCGAGTGACGAGCGCCTCAAATTATGAGCATTTTGAGTAACGAGCACGCCGATTGCCGACAAATTGTCTCGATTGGCGAGCGTTCGTTTGATTAACGAGAAAACCACATGGTGCGTTCCCACTGCTTCTCGCACATTCTCAGACGATGCAAATAAATAAAAAAAATTTTTTTAAAGATGTTAACACTCTGATGCTCTGGGCGCACATGCACCACACTACCTCGGGTGGGTTTTGGCATTCCGTGGGAACGCGCGGTAATTCTGAAAAGTGTATAATCTTTTCAACTTTGTTACCTCAATTCTCGTCCTAGGTTTTTCAATTTGGTATCATTGTGTTCACAATAGAATTCTCTACAGGACTAAAGGCATATTAAGTCCAAATACACAGCGTACTATCCGCAACAGAGAAAGTGAGAGCATGTTACCTGGGAGCGCGCAGGACCGATAAAATATGTACACTCCTTTCACTTTGGTCACCTCAATTCTCATCTTAGGTCTTTCATTTTGGCATCAATGTGTTCGCAATAGAATTCTCTATAGGACTAAAGACATATAAAGTCCAAACGGTCGGCGTACCATCCGCAACAGAGAAAATGAGAGCGTGGCTCAAGAGCAATAAAATGTTTACACTCCCTTCACTTTGGTCACCTCAATTCTCGTCCTAGGTCTTTTTTCATTTTGGTATCATTGTGATCGCAATAGAATTCTCTACAGGACTAAAGACATATAAAGTCCAAATGCCCAGCATACCATCCGCAACAGAGAAAGTGAGAGTGTTACCTGGGAGCGCGCAAGACCAATAAAATGTGTACACTCCTTTCACTTTGGTCACCTTAATTCTCGTTCTAGGTCTTTCATTTTGGTATCAATGTGTTCGGAATAGAATTCCCAACTGGAATACATGCGTATGTCAAAAACAGCGGCACATTCCACCCGCCGACAAGATGAAAGTTACCAGAAAGAGAGTGCTGCACCATCCCAAGGCACCTCTCATTAAACTAGAGATAAAAATAGAGAGCGTGGTCATACCGAAATGTGTATACTCTCTTCAACTTTGTCATCTCAATTCTCGTCCTAGGTTTTTCAATTTGGTATCGATATGTTCACAATAGAATTCTCTACAGGACTAAATGCATATAAAGTCCAAACGCCCGGCGAGAAAGTGAGAGCGTGTTACCCGGGAGCGTGCAAGAGCAATAAAATGTGTACACTCTTCACTTTAGACATCTCAATTCTCGTCCTAGATCTTTCATTTTGGTATCATTGTGTTTGCAATAGAATTCCCTCCAGGGGTATATGCAAATATAAAGTCCAAAACCCCGGCGTCCCACCCACAGCAAACAGAGAACGTGACGGTGCGTTACCGCTGAGAGCACTAATAAATAGCAATAAAATGGGTATACTCTTTTCAACTTTGTTACCTCAATTCTGCTCCTAGGTCTTTCATTTTGGTATCAATGTATTCACAATGAAAATCCCTACAGATGTATATGCATATAATGTCCAAAGCTGCAGCAACCCCCTCCCGAAGCCGCCGGTAACGGCGCAGCATTGCGTCGTTACCGGACCACCCCCGAGTAAAAAAACGATGCAATGCTGTGTCGTTACCGAGCGGAAGTGTTAATGATGCTGGGATGTAAAGGGGTTACTGCTGTGATGTTGCAAAGCACTGAATTTTTTTTTGTACAACAAAACAAAAATGAAAAAAAGATTGAAAAAAGAACACATGTCAAAGGTTCGTTCAGTGTTTGTCAGGTAGGCTGCTCCATGTTTCTTTAAAAAAAAAAAAAAATTAAAAAAAAAAATTGAACAAACTTGCAAAATGTCATAAAGGTTTGTTCAGTGTGTGCCAGGTAGGCTGCTCCATTATTAATAAATAAATTAAAAATACAAAACAAATTGAACACATTTGAAACAAAGAAAGATTGTCATAATGGAGCATCTATTATGTACCGTTTCAGTGTTTGTCTGGTAGGCTGCTCCATTATTTTAAAAATTTAATATCATATTGATGTTTTACGGTGGTGGAGCGGATTATTTTATTTCCAATATTTTAAATGGGAAAATTCGTTTTGAAAGACGAGCACTTCACATGACGAGTTCAAGTGCTGGAACGGATTAAATTCATTAATCGAGGTTCCACTGTAATTCGTTAATTGGGATCCTTTCATGTTTGATAATTTATTATAAATTAGTCTTAAAAACGCATGATAATTTTAAATAGTTTATACATATTTATTACCACACAGTGTAGTCCTGCTATTCCATCTATGACTTCCCCTGCCCCATCCCCCCACCTTATCACACTTAGCTACTTATCAGTAACAGTTTATTTGAAAGAAATTAGATTTTTTCACTTTCTATAAATTAAAACAAATATGTGCACACACAAAAAAAATTGCAAGTACATACAGTCATTAAAAAATATATACCAAGTTTTAGCAGGAAAATTAAGTCTAAATTTGGAACAAAACTAGAGTTTAATTAAATTTTTCAAGTAACTTGTACATTACAAAAATGCTTTACAAAGTCTATCATTATGTTTACAGTTTTCACATCCTAAATTAAAATCAAAAGAAAAACTCACAGTCCTTGCTCCTGTCATGACATCCAAAACATCTTGTACTTCAGATCCTTCCGAATGTTTATCCAGCTCATAAACTTCGTATGGTATTCCCAATTTACCGAATTCCTAAATAATGAAGATAATAATTATCAAGCTTTGCATGTAATGAAATATTCTTGTCAAGCTTAACTCTGGCAGCATCGAGTCTTAGTCCAACACACCAGGCCTCCGAGACCCTGCTGTTGCCATGGAACCCCCCCCCCCCCCCCAAACAAAATGAAGAGGAAGTAATCGAATGTTAAATGAAATGAAATGCCTCTTTCTAGCGGATCTTGGAGACTTCTTGAGCTACCCACTTATAATCCTCCAAACCATGGACACCACATCAGAATCTTACAAATCACAAGCCTATCGGAGAGAAGACCAGATTCTAACCACCGCAATAGGAGAATGTGAGGATACAAGCTGGTCTTCTCCCTACCAGTGTAAAAGAGAAAATCAGGCCTACCTTGCCAGGATCTTTAGTCCATGTCAACAACTGTTTACCTAGGATGCCTAATTTCCTTCAAGCAGTTGCTCATTTTGTTGCAGCTATGCTTCCTGGTGGGTTTTTGCAAGGTTTGTGGATAATCTCTGGCAAGGGAAGCCCCTGCTTCCCTTGCCTCAGAATGAGTTAGATTCTGGGTTGATTCCTGTTGGGTGACAGTTGGGTCACAGGTGTGTGTGTTGGGCTATTCTAACATAACATAATTCTTTTGCTGTTATTACACTAATACACACATTATATATAAGTACAATGGGGCCTCGACTTACGATGCTAATCCATTCCCAGAGACGGATCGTAAGTCGAAATATCGTAAGTCGAAGCGATTTTTCCCATAAGAAATATAGGGAATTGAATTAATCCGTTCCCCACCATCCAAAATATTAATTTACAAATACATTTTATACTGAATACAATTGCTTTTTCTAACTACAATACAGTACATACGTGTATCTTACCTTTATGGAGGACCCTTGATGGTTTATGGAAGATGGTGATGAGGGGAGGAGGAGGAGGTATTACTGTTTAGAAGGGGAGTCAACTTCCATTATCACATCAGGCAGTGATGTTTCCTCTGGGGTACACTCTCTCCTACGTTTTGCCTGCATACCACTAGGACCTTGGGTTGTTCACTGCTTGTTTGTCTCACTAAAAATTTGCCAAGAGACTTGTTTTTCCCTTCGTTTTAACATTTGTCTATAGTGATGCATCACAGTGTCATTGAATAGGTTAAGGCAACGGCCTACTACAACTTGCTCTGGGTGAGTCGTTTCAACAAAAGTTTGCATTTCTTCCCATAGTCTACACCATAGTCTACATCATAGTCTTCACTACATACATAGTCATCCAAATTAATAACAACTGTTCAACTTCCTCAAGTGTTTATGTTCTATGTTTCATGATTATTGATATGTCTCTTGCCACTTTAGCACTCATACTGTCCTTTTTCTTAGCCAGTATGATGGATACCGTTGACTGAGAGTTGTTGTACTGCCTAGCTAGTTGAACAATCTACACACCATCTTCATATTTACGAATGATTTCTTGTTTTTGCTCTATGGTGATTCTTACATGGGTTTTCATATGTTGAACCTTACCACTGACTTTCTTGGGACCCATGGTGTGATATATAATAATTACTTTTATGTTCAAAAAGCAAAAAATCACCACAAAAACGGAATTTCTTGTAGATGTGATCGTCACTAAGCAGGCAGCTGTAGTAAACTGAGGCAGGTTGGCCCACGTGACCGGAAACCACGCTCTCGGTCGACCCGAACGTGTATCAACAAATATCGTTAGTCGACGACACCATCGTATGTCGAGTCGCATTTTTTCGATCAAATTTACATCGTAACTCGAAATTATCGTAAGTCGGGGCAATCGTAAGTCGAGGTGCCATTGTATCTACATTTGTGTTCACCATAGAGAACCACTGAGCTGGCATGGTGAATGCAGACAGGTGGCCACACAGTCAGTAAACGATGCTATCTCCCTCCGTCCCTCAGCATTACTCCTCCCACAGCACTAATTATCACAACAATCCTGCTATTATCACAATCCTGGTCATTTTTATCACAGTCAGGGGTCATCTGTAATACTGTCATCGCTAAATAATAGCAGTTACATATTTATTTTGACATTTTAGGCGATGCTGTAGTCACAAGCTGAAGAGCAATGCTGTTTGCTCATGCTGTGCACGCCAGCCTTGGTTTCTCCCACAGTACTGTGGCTCTCACACCTGAGAATATTGCCCACGATTTTTTTTAAACATGGCGTCTGTTTACAAGAGCCCTGAGGAGGCTAATGTGAACCCCATGTAGCCGCGGCCATTTGAATCGTGTCTGGCACCCTATGGCGTAAATACGCCATGCACACCATAGGACATGTTACTCATGGTGTATATGTACGCCATGCGCAGTTTAAGGGTTAAGATATCTTATATATCTCCTATATATTAATGATATCCAAAATAATATTTTACAAATATTAATATGACTATACAGTACAGTATATGTATACAGGTACATACTGTACTAGTAAGATTTGCCCGAAACTCTGGGCAGACTAAGTGGCCTTGTTTGAAATTCTTAGTGTTGCTCTATGATGCTAAAGCAAATACTGTATGGCATCATATCTACTTTGACATAACTTCATAAACCAATTTTGGAAAACAAATTCTTACCTTCTTTGCTATTTTGCAATAAGGACAGTAAGTCTTGGAGAAAATTACAACACAATTAGTGTTTATTTTTTCCTTCACCATTTCAGCAACTGGACCTTTCATGTTTGCAGCTGGTATCTGACAACTTGGTGACCCTCCCATTTATGAAAAGCCTGAAGAAAAAGAAATTAGCATTATTACTATTTCCCTTTTTCCTGAGGCTGGAAGGCATTAGCCTGGGAGAAAAAATAGGTGCAGCATTGAAAACAAAAAAAAAACAAAAATGTACACTCTATTCACCATATCTTACCCACTCACTACACAGCATCTTGGATATACAATGACCAATACCCCAAATAATAATAACAGCACCTCATCACTTCATAAGACTTAGGTGTACAGATGACACAGTATACACTCAACGCAACACTTAAGTGGCACACATTTAAGCTTATAACTAGCATGTTATGGCACTTAACCACTGAACTGCTCTGCTTCCAAATATGGCAACCCCCCTGGTGCGCAGGAAATAAATTCTTTCCAAAAAATTATTTTCTCTTCTTAAATTGTTAAAATGCAGTCTTTGATCATGGGAAACTAAAAAAATAAAAATATTGTATGTGACATACTTTAGCCGCGATGGAGCTGGGAAGTTGAGCATATTATGGGCGCTGAGCAAGGAAGCGCTGGGGGTCAGTCAGCCCCACAACCCCGAGGGGTGGCAGTTGCCGCAAATATAATGTTTCACAATTATTTTGATGTTTCTCATTCATTTCTTCTCTTGTTTTTTGCTGTAATAGTATTCAAAAGTGTGTAATTTGTGGAATTTATATAGATCAAAGTGTGGAACATCGCTATGCTCAAAACTATGGGGCTCATATATGTGACATATATATTATATTCTACGATCAATCAAACAGTATTTCTGGAGGGAGCCCCGTCGGCTCCCCGGAGCTATCCAGGCTGAATGAATATGTATAACTTTCTGGCATTAGTCAAAGTGCTAGGAGTTCTTGCCTACCGAGGACCACAAGCCAGAACCTGGCCCCCTCAGAGAGGCACGAGGAGCAATGGACTATAGAAACCCCCTTGTGGTTGGGAGCATTCTATGTCTGCCATCGACCAGGATAGGCACCCAGAAAGGTAGGCGCCCCAAAACAAACTCCTATTCTGGTAAAAATATTGCTACCAAAAGCCGAACGAGTGGACAGAACTCCCCAAACAAAATTATCTAACTAGCATGACATCATCACGTCGCTGCGCCACTGTCTGCGCACCCCCCCCCCCTCCCCGGGAAGGGGAAGGGGGAGCCCCAGACCCTCCACGCCGGCAATCCAACTGGCAGTTCTTGGCTGATGGGATTACTGGCTGGTTGAGTGCCTCTGGCTCCGGGTTTTGTTTCAGTTCTGTGCCTTGTGGTGTGGACTGTCTCTACCGGTGAGGTGTGAGCCAGGAGTAACATTCCACGGTACTCGGGCTGCATGCGCCTCTTAAAATATCATATAGGTATTTGTTTCTGGTGTGGTGCCCATGGGTTCTGTTTTTTTTTTTTTTTTTTTGAGATATATACAAGAGTTGTTACATTCTTGTACAGCCACTAGTACGCGTAGCGTTTCGGGCAGGTCCCTGGAATACGATCAACCTTGTCAACAACCTTCGATCAACCCTTCCGGTCCCTTCCGGTCCCTCACCGGAATTCACTAACTGGACCGAGAATCTGTGGTTCAAAAAGTTGTGCCTAGTCCTCGAGTCACAAAATTCTATCATCTTGAGTCTTCTCAACGAGAATCTAGCGAACCGCGCTAATCTCCAACAACAACAACAAGAAATAACCCTCCTCCGCGAGGATATTAGAAACTACAAGGCTAGCCAAGACCAACTACAGCATGATTTGAATGATCTCCATGAGGTAAACAACCTTCGGAAAACTGATGAAGCCTTAAAAAAGCAGGAGGAAGCTCTCAGCAAAATGACTGCATGTATCAGTACATTTTCAGCTCAACGTTCCGTCTCCCAGGAGGAACAAGACCAGCAAAAGCTGCTAGACTCTGTTATCGTGTCGTCCCAAGATATACCTGTGGAACATGAAGGTGAAAATTGTTTCGAAATAGCTCAGGATCTCTTAAAAAACAAATTGCAGCTCAATCTAAACAAAACTGACGTTATTGCTGCCTACAGAGTAGGCAAAAAGAATCCATCAGGTCTAAATCAACGGAAAATTCGCCTGAAGCTGTCTTCCCAGTTCACGAAATCCAATCTAGTCCGGACAGCTGCATCCCTACGGAAGGGATTATACATCAACGAGTGCTTGACCAGGAACAGACAGCAAATCCTCTACCGCCTGCGTCAAATCCGGCAACAAAACCCAGATGCTATTCATCAGTGCTTCGTTAGAGATGGTCTGATAAAGGTGAGAAAAACCGCAGAGGGCAAAATGTTTACTATTACTAGAGAAGAAAACCTCAACACTTTCCTCTCCCAATGTGGTTTGTCTCACCTTATCACTCCCAATGAATTAACTTAATTAACCCCCTGTCAACTAGTGGGGCTAGGTATCCTAAGTCTCCTTGGTTCATTTTCTGACTTAATTTTTAACTTACTCTTACCTAGTCATTTACCGAAATTATTTAATTGAGTTATTAAGTAGTTCTTCAGGTCTTTTTAATTATACAGTCATTACTGAACTATCTATAGTTATTAATCATTAGCTTAAATTTGCCTATGTTTATTATTCAACTTTTCTTTGATTTCATTTATTACCTAGGTTGCCTAGCCTTGCCATGCTCCCTTACTCCATTGTACCCCTGGCTTTGCCTGCATCTCAAATTGCAAATTGTTACTTACAGTGTACCTGTGAGTACTCGTAAGCAATCTACCTCATTTTTGCTCAATTTGTTTTTTTTTTGTATTGCTTAGTCTTGCTTATATTTTTTGTTTTGTATTTCCATATCTTGTGTTTTGTATAGTCCATGTTTACATGTTTTTTCTTTAATCTCATTAATTGCCTAGGTTGCCTAGCCTAGCCATACTCCCTTACTCCATTGTACCCCTGTAAGCCCCTTTTGTGTTTGTTTTGTACAGTATTGTGTATATATTTTTCCCTATTTTATAGCTTTTTTCTACTTATTTCTGATTCTACAATCAGCTTCTTTTATGCAGTCAAGTATAGACCCAGAACTTAACCTCTTATCCACTATCTATGACAATAATCACTTTAATGATCTAAATTGCAGATATTTTGCAGCACATGATGTAAACAATGTATTAACTCATAATCACAATATCTCTGTAATCAATTTGAACGTTAGATCCCTAGGTAAACACTTCGATGATGTTAGTGCCTTGATTGAAACTATTGGCAACAAATTCTCTTTTATTATACTTACTGAAACATGGTTGAAAGAGGATACTACTCAACTCTTTAACATGCCTAACTACTCAGCAATTCACAACTGTCGTCAACTTCAGAGAGGTGGTGGCACTGCTCTTTACTACCACCAAGAACTAACATGCTTAAAAGAAATTAGAACTAGAGACTGCTATGGGGAGTATATCTTCGCCAGCTTCAGAGTCAAGGGTGCCGAGTCTGTCCTGTCTGTGGGTGCAGTCTATAGAATTCCCAACACTGATGTGTCTGTATTCAACTCAAACCTTAGAAATCTAATACTTGATAACAGACTGAACAAAAACCACCTAATTATCGCAGGGGACTTTAATATTGACCTCTGCGAGCCAGAACACAATACTGCTGTTAGCTTCCTCAACTGTATGAATTCCTGCCTCCTCATACCCTTAATCACTAGACCTACTAGAATCACTGATAGCACTGCCACGACTCTAGATCACATCTGGACCAACATAACCTCTCCGCTTACTTCAGGTATAATCACCGATAGCACTACAGACCACTACCCCACATTTCTCTTAACTAACATTAGCAAACCACCTCTAGAAACAAGGGAGTTAAGCTTTAGGCTGCACAATGAAACTGCTATAAACAATTTTATAACTGCTGCTGATAATGTCAACTGGGAGTCCGAATTAGGTAACATAGGGGACATCAACCTAGCAGTGCAATCTTTTCTACAAACAACTCTTAGCCTTTATAACACCCACTGTCCTAGGCTTACAAAACAAGTCACAAGCAAAAGGCTTAACAATCCTTGGCTTACAAAGGGAATACTGAAATCCATTAACAAAAAACACGACCTTGAGAAGAAGTATAGGTTAGGAATTGTCTCCAAAGAATTCTCAAAGAATTACTCATTATTGCTAACTAAGATAATTAGACGAGCCAAAACTAATTACTACGAAGATAAATTTACTCAAATAAAGAGCAACATTAAACAAACTTGGAGCACAATTTCACAAATATTGGGATCAAAGAAATCTTTAAATAACAAACCGACTCTCCTGTCTAATAACGATGGTCAGCTTTCAGCCTCTGATTCTGCTATTGAGTTCAATAGGTTCTTCTCTTCCATTGGTTCATCCCTTGCAAATGATATTCCATCTTCCAGTACTGACATTAAGGACTATCTTACAGGTAACTATCCACAGTCTCTGTACCTAAAGCCTATTAACTCCACTGACGTCAATGAGATAATCCTTTCCCTTAAAACCAAGTCTGGTGCCCTTGAGGAGATACCAACTTTAATTTACAAAAAAGCCTCCAGATCTTTAGCCCCTGCTATTGCTTTGCTCTTCAACAAGTCACTTGAACTCCAAACCTTTCCAGATATTCTAAAAAAAGCGAGAGTAACGCCTGTCCACAAATGTGGTGACCCCACAGATGTTAACAACTACAGACCTATATCAATCCTGCCAAACTTGTCAAAAAATTTTGAAAAACTTATATACAAGCAGCTTTACTCATATCTAGCCAAACTCAATATACTTAGCCCTTGCCAATATGGCTTCAGACCCAAAAAAAGCACTAACGATGCACTTATTAGTATGCTTAACTCGATTCATACAGCTCTTGATAAAAAGGAGCTCCCTGTTGGGTTATTTGTGGACCTGCGTAAAGCTTTTGATACTGTCAACCACCAAAACCTTCTTCTTAAATTACATCATTATGGAGTCAGAGGACACTCCCTACAATACCTCGAGTCCTACCTTACTGACAGGCTCCAATATGTTTCTGTGAATAATACAATTTCTCCCACCCTACCCATCAACATTGGTGTTCCTCAGGGCAGCATACTTGGCCCTCTCCTCTTTCTCATCTACATTAATGACCTTCCAAATGCCTCCCAACACCTCAAACCAATTCTATTTGCTGACGACACAACCTTCATTTACTCCAGTCCTGACCCTCTTGCTCTAAATGCCACAGTAAATACTGAGCTAAATAAAGTCCATCTTTGGCTAACTGCCAACAAACTCACCCTTAACATTGACAAAACCTTCTATATTCTGTTTGGCAATAAATCCTCTAGTCTTATAAATCTCAAAATAAACAATACCCAAATTTGTAACAAATTAGATGGCAAATTCCTTGGCATTCTCATTGACCACAAGCTGAATTTCCAGGGACACATTCTAAATATATCAAAAAAAGTTTCAAAAACTGTGGGCATTCTTTCTAAGATCAGATATTATGTACCACGCCCTGCTCTGGTGACTCTCTATTACTCCCTTATCTATCCTTATCTCAACTATGGTATTTGTGCTTGGGGTTCTACTACCCAAAATCACTTACGTCCTCTAATTACCCAACACAAAGCCGCTATTAGAACAATATCCAACTCTGGCCCCAGACATCACTCGGTACCCCTACTCAAATCTCTTAATATGTTAGATATTAAGTCACTGCACATTCTCTCATGTGTATTATACATATATAAAACGCTAAACTATAATGCCAATCCTGATCTTAAAAGCTTCATAGAAGGTTGTAACAGAACCCATGAGCACCACACCAGAAATAAATACAGTTTTGATATTCCTAGAGTACGTCTTAATCAAACTAGAAATGCTCTGCAAATCAAGGGGCCCAGAATGTGGAATGACCTTCCCAACCATGTTAAAGACTGTACCTCTCTCAACCAGTTTAAGATAAAAACTAAACACTACCTAATAAATTCCCTGTAATCTACCTCACTCCTCTATTGTCAACCCATGTCTGTTATTTTCTTTTTTTTTTTTTCTTTTTTTTTAATCAACACTGTTTGTCAACCTATTGTATTTGTGCTGCTTTTTCAGTCATGTTCCCCCTTTTTTTTATCTTTATTTGTATTTGTTCTCAACATCTTTTATTCTTTATGCTCAATTAGTATTAAGTTCTAGATATTAATGTTTTTCTTGCCCGAAACGCATTGCGTAATAGTGGCTTTAGGCATTGTATGTACTAGCTCTATCTATATATCAATCCATTAATGTAACATCACTTGTATGTATATACCTTTCCTGAATAAACATCTGAATCTGAATCTGAATCTGAACCCTGTTACAACCTTCTAGGAAGCATTTAAGTTCAGGATTGACATTACAATTCAGAGTTTTAAATATATAGAGTACACATGAGAGGATGTGCAGTGACTTAATATCTAACATATTCAAAGATTTAAGTAAAGGTACCGAGTGCTGTCTGGGGCCAGAGTTAGATATTGTTCTCATAGCAACTTTGTGTTGAGTAATTGCCCGAATGCTTTGCCCGAAACGCTATGCGTACTAGTGGCTTTAGGTATTGTATGTACTACCTCTATCTTTAAATCTAACAGAATGTTTGTACTGTAACGCTGCAACTATGTATGTACTGTTCCTAAATAAATATTATTATTATTATTATTAATTAGAGGATGTAAATAATTTTGAGTAGTAGAACCCCAAACACAAATACCATAATTGAGGTAAGGGCAGATGAGAGAGTAATAGAGCGTCACCAGGGCAGGGCGAACTAAAAAAAAAAAATATCTAATCTAGGTCAACAATATCTGGGATCTGATCAACCCAACTGCATTTTTGGGTTGTGGTCACCTGCAACACTGGGCGTGGTTACCGCGATACTTGTGTTTATAATCCAGTGTTACTCCTGATCATGTGTATTTAGGGGCAACGATGATCGTGAGATCGGATGCAGTTTAGTCCTGATAATGACAATTAATAATAAACGATGACCTACTGTTTACATTGAGGAGGACGAGGGACTACGAGCTCATGCTCTTGTAAGATGGGTATGGGGTGCATAAAAATATAAACTAAACTAACTCTCGCTATGGCTGACAAATGCTCTGATATATTATAAACGAAAAAATAATATATTTGCTTGTTCTATTTAAACTTTGTTACAAAAAAAGGAGTTACATATAAGGTACAAAGATGATTATCACAATTTCACTGATGTAAATGAGGTAATCCTTTCCCTTAAGACAAAGTCTAGTGCCCTTGCGGAGATACCAACTCTAATTTACAAAAAAGCCTCCAGATCTTTAGCCCCTGCTATTGCATTGCTCTACAACAAGTCACTTGAACTCCAAACTTTTCCAGATATTCTAAAAAAAAGCGAGAGTAACCCCAGTCCATAAATGTGGTGATCTCACTGATGTCAACAACTTCAGACCTATATCAATTCTGCCAAACTTGTCAGAAATATTTGAAAAACTAATCTACAAGCAGCTTTACTCTTATATAGCCAAACACAATATACTAAGCTCTTGTCAATATGGCTTCAGACCCAAAAAAAGCACTAACGATGCACTTATTATTACGATTTTTCTGCGGTTGGAAGAAAACGCGCTCAGATTGGGGGACTTGTTTATTTTATAATAGTAAATAATAAATTAATAATAAATAATAAATAATAAAGAATAAATTAATAATAATACATAATAAATTAATAATAATACATTATAAATTAATAATAATAAACTATTATTATAATAAATAATATAATGATAACAAATAGTATAATGATAAGCAATTGTCTTTTTTTTTTTTTTTAAGAGCATTAGGAGCATTAACATCAGTGGGATCACCACATTTATGGACAGGGATTACTCTCATTTTTTTTTAGAATATCTGGAAAGGTTTGGAGTTCAAGTGACTTGTTGAAGAGCAATGCAATAGCAGGAGCTAAAAATCTGGAGGCTTTTTTGTAAATAAGAGTTGGTATCTCCTCAAGGGCACTAGACTTGGTTTTAAGGGAAAGGATTATGTCAGTAACATCAGTGGAATTAGTAGGCATTAGGTACAGAGACTGTGGATAGTTAACCGTAAGATAGTCCTGAATATTAATACTGGAAGATGGAATATCATTTGCAAGGGATGACCCAATGGAAGAGAAGAACCTATTGAACTCAAGAGCAGTGTCAGAGGCTGAAAGCAGACCATCATTATTTGACAGGAGTATTGGTTTGTTATTTAAAATCTTCCTTGATCCCAATATTTAAGAAATTGTGCTCCATGTTTTCTTAATATTGCCCTTTGTGTAGGTAAATTTATCTTCGTAGTATTTAATTTTGGCTCTCCTAATTATTTTAGATAGCAGTGATGAGTAATTCTTTGAAAATTCTTTGGAGACGATTCCTAACCTATACTTCTTCTCAAGGTCATGTTTTTTATTAATGGATTTAAGTATCCCCTTTGTAAGCCAAGGATTGTTTAGCCTTTTAGTTGTGACTTGTTTCGTTAGCATAGGACAGTGGGTGTTATAAAGGCTGAGAGTTGTGTAGCGAGTAGATTATCCCAATAATATACTCGCTCCAAATATAGTGTTAATATTCCTGTCAACCTTTGGAGATGAATGATGTGAGGCGTTGCCCGGGCAACACAGTGAGGTGTTGCCCGAGCAATATAAGCAGCGGTGTAGCGAACATTAACTAGTCTACTTTCAAGTGTGGTCTAGAGCAGACACTTGCGAGATACTGTACCAACGCTCAGTGCGCTCAACTCGCACCAAAGTATCACCTGTGTACTTCTGTATATTCGACCAAATATATATATAGTATCTTAGTGTCTGTGTTTATTTGTCACCATACTTTACGTACCAATAGAACCGTTACATTGGTGACCCAGTGAGTGAAAAAGAACACCTAGTCACAAACTAGATCTTCGTCATGGATTTATCTACCAGGTTTCCAGCATACAACGCAGATGATTCAGAATTTTGGTTCATGCAGATGGAGGCTATTTTCGACCTTCACGAAGTTTCGACGATACCCAGCCACGATGGACTCTCACTGGACCTCTACTGCTACTGTTAGCTGTGATGGAACGCTGCCAACACCCTCGCCACAGCTATGATTTTCATCGCGATCGTCTCTGCATTTTCATCTACTACGGCTTGCTGCTCCACGATCACTACTCACTCATCTGGCAGCTTCATCAGTAACTACATAATGTGTGATCTACAGCCTGCCCTGCCGACTCTCCGTCGCTGCCAGGGCACTGCTTGTTCTACAGGGGCGCCCACGAAAGCTGCTCTTTCGTCAGATTTATCTACACGTTCACTGCATTTTGATACTCTGCCGACTCAAGCCCTTTGCGCAGTACAGGACTTACAGCTTGCGTTTCCGACTCTTCGTCGCCTCCAGGACAATTCAGCTCTAGCAGTGATTACCTCGTTGTCCTAACTACGTGCCTACATTACCTCCTAATGTCCTGGTGCCCGAGCCCATCCGCCCCGGATCTTAGTTTAGTTCATTTATTATGCACCCCATACCCATCTTGTGGGCGGTAGTGGAAAGGGTTACAGAGGCACATAATGGGCTCAGGGACTGAACCCCACAATTCATTTAGCTAAGCAAGTTACAATCTTGATGAGCTAGTTACAAAATTCAATATAAGTCATCACATCAACAGTGGGTTCGAGATCGACCTCAAGTACAGGTTCTAAATTAAGCAACTGACATATGTGGAGAGCTAGTGTCAAAATTTATATGTTTGTCCTGCACACCGCCCCCCACCCTGTGGGTAGCGGTGGATAGGTTACAATCACTTAGTTACTACCTACAGTTAGCAAACTGGGGATATTTGGCTAAAATTTCTGGTAGCAGATCATTTTGAATGAAATATTGACACATCGCTGGAACATTGGTTATAGAATTGTCTCTAAATTCACGTATCTTTTCGCACTCCATCACATAGTGACGGAGGGTGTGCGAATAATTTTGTTGACACAGTTTACATTTGGTCAGGTCTACATCAGCAGATAATGAGAATTCCCAGAGATACTTGTAACCGAGTCTAAGCCGAGCAGTAGTAACATCTAGAAGTCTGCTGATTTTATTGGATGATCCATAGATGTGTGGCTCCTCTTGCATGATAGTATGATGATAGATGGAATTACTGGTGTCAATTTCACTTTGCCTCAGATCTACAAGATCTTGTTGAAGTTCTCGGTGTACAGCTGCTCTCAGATTGCTCATTGACAATCCAAGGTTACACTCAACGGCTCCTTTAAAGGCAGATTCTTTGGCTAACTTATCAGCTCTATCATGCATTCGGAGGCCAACATGAGATGGAGACCACATGAAATGGACTCTGTTACCATCCTTAATAATTTTGTTGTATTTGTGTCTAGCTTCGGACACGAGCATGTTACAGTTATGTCTTAAAGAGTTGAGAGCATTTAAGGATGATAAGGAGTCACTTACAATTAATGTATCAAGTTTTGAGACTTGTACACATTTCAGTGCAAGGATCAAGGCAAATAGTTCAGTCTGAAGGGTAGAGGCCCAGTTGTTTATACGGACTCCCCACTCAAAGTATAGGCCATCGCCCATTGTCAGGACAACTGCACTTCCAGCTGCACCCGTGGTGCGGTGTAGGGAACCATCAGTGTATATAATTTGAGAGAGCTAAATGCTCCACCAGCGACCCAAGGACGCAGCAATTGTGCACATTCTTCTCTCCTGCTACACAGAGCTTGTCCACACACTGCCTACATCTTTTGGTACCAGACTACAATTTTCACAGTCAACAATGTAGTACTCGGCGTGTACAGTCCTAATCAACCCAAGACGCTACAGCTTCGACACAGAGCAGACAGCAGACTACGACCGCATCGAGCCGCCACGCTCTCGCTCCCCGAGTTTAGACACTCACAATTCTCAATCGAGCCGCCACGCTCTCCCACATAGAGCTCCACGACTCCGGCCTCACTCAGCTCTCTGCTCTGCTCCAGGCTTCGTCTCAACGTCTGCAACACTGCTAAATCCAGAGACACATCCGCCGACTACGCAGTGCACTTTTCGACCACAGTTACCAGCAGCACCGCCACCTACGACAACGGATGATCCTGTACGACCTCCCACCCTACAACCCCAGTTACCAGCCGCACCACAACCTGATCCTACGACGACGGACGATCCTGTGCGACCTCCCACCCTACGACCCCAGTTAGATGACATCAGCGAAGAGGAGGAAGTTAACTTTGATGGTTATGTAACGCGAGCAGGGCGTACAATTCACCGACCAGCTAAGTTCCTTGATCAAGTATTTTTCCTTTCATCCCCTGGGAGGGGGAGTTCTGTAGCGAGTAGATTATCCCAATAGATTGATGAAGATTAAGCCACCCAAGAGGTGGCACGGGCATGAATAGCCCGTAAGTGGTGGCCCTTTCGAGCCATTACCAGTATCAAAAGATGATACTGGAGATCTGTGGAGGCGCAACTGCACCCTGCGTGACGGGAGATGTCTCCCGGACCAAGTGGTGACCAAATGGTGTCTATCCCAATAATATACTCGCTCCAAATATAGTGTTAATATTCCTGTCAACCTTTGGAGATGAATGAGGTGAGGCGTTGCCCGGGCAACACAGTGAGGTGTTGCCCGAGCAATATAAGCAGCGGTGTAGCGAACATTAACTAGTCTACTTTCAAGTGTGGTCTAGAGCAGACACTTGCGAGATACTGTACCAACGCTCAGTGCGCTCAACTCACACCAAAGTATCACCTGTGTACTTCTGTATATTCGACCAAATATATATATAGTATCTTAGTGTCTGTGTTTATTTGTCACCATACTTTACGTACCAATAGAACCGTTACAGTTGTTTGAAGATATGATTGCACTGTACTTGCTTGATGTCCCCTATGTTCCCTAATTCGGATTCCCAGTTGATATTAGCAGCAACAGCTATAAAATTGCCTATAACAGTTTCATTGTGTAGTCTAAAGCTTATCTCCCTTGTCTCTAGAGGTGGTTTGTTAATGTTAGTTAGGAGAAATGTAGGGTAATGGTCTGTGGTGCTATTGATGATTATCCCTGATGTAAGCAGAGAGGTTATGTTGGTCCAGACGTGATCAAGAGCCGTGGCAGTACTATCAGTGATTCTAGTAGGTCTAGTGATTAAGGGTATGAGGAAGCAGGAATTCATACAGTTGAGGAAACTAGCAGCAGGAGGGTTATCAGGCTCGCAGAGGTCAATGTTAAAGTCCCCAGAAATAATTAAGTGGTTTTTGTTCAGTCTGTTCTCTAGTATAAGATTTCTAAGGTTAGAGTTAAATTCAGTCACATCAGTGTTAGGAACCCTGTAGACTGCTCCCACAGTCAGGACAGCCTCGTTACCCTTGACTCTGAAACAGGCAAATATATACTCTCCATAAGGGTCTCTAGATTTAATTACTTTTAACCACTGCACTGCGCAAAGCGCCTTTAGGCGCTCAGAGAGTTGTGCTTTTTGTTTTTTAATTTGGCTATATTTTAATGTTTTTTAATGTTTTCATTACTATTTGTGTTTTGAAATGGAAATAGTTGACTTTGGAAACATTTTGACATTAAATTTACCTGAACATTTGTAAAAATAACAAAAATATGTCCTTGACAATTGCACCAAGACGTTTTTGCTGAAAATAGGTGAGCAGTGCAAGGGTTAAGGAAGTCAGTGCATGGTGGTAGTAAAGAGAAGTACCACCACCTCTTTGTATAGGACGACAGTTGGGAATAGTTGAGTAGTTAGGTATGTTGAAGAGTTGAGTAGTATCCTCTTTTAACCACGTTTCAGTAAATACAATAAAAGAGAATTTGTTGTCAACTGTTTGAATCAGGGCATTAACATCATCAAAGTGTTTGCTTAGATATCTTACATTCAAGTTAATTACAGAAACATTGTGATTACACGCTAAAACATTGTTTACATTATGTGCTGTGTAATATCTGCAATTTTGATCATTAAAGTTATTTTTTTTCTTTCAACGCAATTTATACTTGAAATTGAAATAAGTTTATTGAGGTAAAATACACACAAAGGGATGAGTTAGCTCAAGCTATTCTCACCCCGTTCAGTACAACGTGTTCATACATATATAGACACACTACTTTAAGCTCAATTATTAGTTTTAGTTTAAGTGTTTTTTTCCCCACCTCACCTTGCCCATGAATATTTCATGTGTTAGTGATCGTATCACTGAAATTAATGCTTTAATTGGTATCAAGATGCTTAGGCTAACCCACCCTAACCACTGCACTGAAGCCCTCCAAGCCTTCTTCCTTGAAGATCAGCATCCCTCCAAATGGATTACCGTAACTGCCAATGTGCTCAGAATGTATAACTTTCCTCACCCCTACCAAGAGAGACAACAACACTTTCCTGCCCCATGGGAGATCACTCCTTTCCAAATTACTGTCCCCCTTTCCCACCCAAGAAGCTGATTAAAGAACAAGCCTTGTTTCGACAAGAAGCAAAGTACATGCAATGCCTTAAGCCAAATTGATGCTTTAGTCAGAGAGCGCTCCCTTTCCCAGATTATTTACACTGATGGATCCTTGCATCAGTCCTATGGTGCAGCTGGAAGTGCAGTTGTGACAGGGAGAGATGGTTCCATCTCCCATGAGTGTGGAGCGCGTCTCAGTAATTGGGCCTCCACTCTTCAAACAGAATTGGTTGCCATAATCCTTGCACTCGAGCGCGTATATGAATCCAAAGTTGACACGCTAATTGTAAGTGACTCCTTGTCATCCTTGACTGCCCTCAGCTCCCCAAGGCATAACTGTGACGTGCTTATCTCTGAAGCTAGACACAGATATAGTGAAATAATCAATGATGGAGTCAGAGTTTGTCTCTTGTGGATTCCTTCCCATATTGGTCTCCGAATGCATGATAGAACAGATGAGTTGGCCAAGACTTTTGCTCGTAAAGAGGGAATTGATTACCAACTTGGACTGCCTTTGAGCAGCCTGAGGGCAGCAATATCCCAGGAACATCAACTAAATTTCGGAGACTTGAGGCAAAGTGAAATTCACACCAGTTACTCCTTCTATCATCATTCTATTATGCATGAAGAATCGCACGTCTATGGGTCATTCAATAATGTTAGCAGACTTCTAGATGTTACCACTGCTAGGCTTAGGCTCGACTACAAGTACCTCTGGGAGTTTGTATAACATCTGCTGATGTAGATTTGACTAAATGTAAACTCTGTCAGCAGAACTATTCGCATACTTTGCGTCATTATATAATGGAATGTGAAAAAATTGCGGAATTTAGAGATAACACCATCAATAGTGTCCAAGAAATGTGTAAGTACTTCATTCATAATGATGTGCTGCCCGAAATCTTAGCGAAGTATCCAAAATTTGCTTACTGTAGGTAATGCATGCACATGGCTGTAAAGCTGCCGCCCAGTTGCGTGGGTGTGCAGCAAGACTAGTAACTGTGTGACTCATTATAGATGTAAAGTGCCTTGTATAGTGACTGTTGTGAGCCTCTTGTAATGTCACTTGTGACACTTGTGTCACGTGTGACACAAAGATTATTGATGTGTGTATTTGTGTGGGTGATTCGATATGTATGTGTATGTATATGTGTATACATATACATACATATATATATATATATATATATATATATATATATATATATATATATATATATATATATATATATATATATATATATATATATATATATATATATATATATATATATATATATATATATATATACACATACATGTATGTATGAGAGTATGTACATGTGTATACAACATTAATAATTTTGTAACTAGCGTCAAACATTGTTATTTGGTTAGCTAAACGAACTAGAGGGTTCAGTTCCTGAACCGATTATGTGCCTCTGTAATCCTTTACACAACCGCCCACGGGATGGGTATGGGGTGCATAATAAAGAAATAAATTGAATTCACCCACGGGATGGGTATGGGGTGCATAATAAATGAACTAAACTAACTAACTAACTAAACCTTGCCCGAAACGCTATGCGTACTATGTGGCTTTAAGTACTGTATGTACTAACTCTATCTATAAATCCAACATTACGTTTGTAACTAATCTTTTATGTATAAACTTTTACTTGAATAAACATTTGATTTGATATTTTTACCGTTTATTTTCAATATAATAGGCCTCCGACTTGTACATTCCAACTTAGTTTTGTCTTCATAAACCACCAGTCCCATATGGTGACACAGATGAAAACAATGTTGTGTATGAAGCTTGATAATAAAAACCCATAACAGTTCTGTACGTGAATATAATAACAAAAAACATCAGGTATGTATATATGCCGTCTGCAAAAATTAATCTCATTAAATATCAATGCAATATAGTCATTATTAATATATGATATTATGCTAGTGTTATTAAGTTTGTACGACTACTGGAAGAGAGGCCAAAGGCCAAGATATATTGTAATAATATTAGTGAGGAGGAGGAGGAAGATGAGGAGGGTGATGGCGACACTTGGCAGCAGGCGAGGCAAGGGGGCGGCCGCTCCTTCACTACTGCGTTGTTACATCTCTCTCTCTCTCCTTCACCCTCCGTCTGCTTCCGTCTCATCTACACCCACACACTGGTGGCACGCCCGTCCTCCTCCTCCTCAACTGTGCCACCTCCTGCAGCAGGTAGACGGAGCTGGGGATCACCAGGAGAAAACTTTGTAACGGGTCTCTAAGGAGGTCGAATAATTTAACGTCTGAGTCATTTCCTAGTGACTGTTCTTGGGTATTGTGGCCAGGTGGGTATTGTGGTCAGGTGCGTATTGTGGTCAGGTGCGTATTGTGGCCAGGTGGGTATTGTGGCCAGGTGGGTATTGTGGTCAGGTGCGTATTGTGGCCAGGTGGGTATTGTGGTCGGGTTGGTGCTGGCCAGGTGGGTATTGTGGTGAGTGGTGGTCAGGTGGGTGCTGGCCAGGTGGGTATTGTGGTGAGTGGTGGTCAGGTGGGTGCTGGCCAGGTGGGTATTGTGGTGAGTGGTGGTCGGGTTGGTGCTGGCCAGGTGGGTATTGTGGTGAGTGGTGGCCAGGTGGGTGCTGACCAAGTGGGTATTGTGGTGAGTGGTGGTCAGGTGGGTGCTGGCCAGGTGGGTATTGTGGTGAGTGGTGGTCAGGTGGGTGCTTGCCAGGTGGGTATTGTGGTGAGTGGTGGTCGGGTTGGTGCTGGCCAGGTGGGTATTGTGGTGAGTGGTGGTCAGGTGGGTGCTGACCAAGTGGGTATTGTGGTGAGTGGTGGTCAGGTGGGTGCTGGCCAGGTGGGTATTGTGGTGAGTGGTGGCCAGGTGGGTGCTGACCAGGTGGGTATTGTGGTGAGTGGTGGCCAGGTGGGTGCTGACCAAGTGGGTATTGTGGCTAGGTGAATCTTGGTCAGGTGGGTATTGTTGTGATGCCGGGAACCATAATGTACAAAATGAGATTTGTTAGTTGAGAGGCTGGGTTGTCAGTGGTCCAATACTGTAGTTGGTGTTTATGGTAGATTTGGCTAGTCTTACTGTTTGGTTTTATGTTGTATTACTAATGCTAAATTAATGAGTTACTGGTTTAGCAAAAACTAAAGCACAAATTTGGTTTCCTTTAAGCCTAATGGCCAATATTTATTAGCTAATTTGCACACAAATGTGGCAAGTATTGAAATATTGTCTTGTCTAACTTGGGCCATAGGCCTAGTGTTAGTTCACTTCATTCTGTATTACATGTATAAATACAGATATTGTAACATTTACAAAGCCCAATTTCTGTATTCATAAATTTGGTATATTAACTTTAATATACTGTAATTCTGTAAATTTGTTGTTAATTTATAAGCTATAAGTAAAAAATTCTGTAGCAGGCACCAGTAAATAAATTTTGACTTGAGCTTCCGAGGGCCATACTTAGTGTGCTGTTCCCCAGGCTGAGGCCATTTGTTTTGTGGCACAACGAAGCGAGATGCGGAGGCAGCCAGAAATTTGCTTCCCTCCCCCCAAGATCACAAATACCATAATTATAATAAAACAGAAAATGTGCATCCAGGTCTAGAAATATCTCTGACCAGAAGGCCTGGTCAGAGACCGGGCCACGGGGATCTTGACCCCCAGAATCAACGCAAGGTAACCACTAAATCGATATGGGAAATATCGATTTTAATCATTGTGAAATGCACAATGATTTATAAAATGTGTATGAAAACATTCCTGGTGAAACAATGCCCTTGCTTTACCTAGTGTAGATGGTATACTCTACTTCTATTTTAGAATTTTAAAATCTTGTAAAGTTGTTTTATTGACAATATCTTATGTTGTATGATAAGGCTTATGTAAAGGTATTGTGTACTTTGTGCGATAATTGCTTTGGTCTTTCTAAATTTTGAAGTTTAAATTTATTGTAAAATCAAAATGTTGTACTGTATATTGTTACTTATTTGTAAAATAGCCTCAAGTAATTTTGCACATTGGCAAAATCTGTTTGCTCAAATTATTTGATGTCTTGATTATTTTGTATTTTTTTAACAATTTAAAAAAGTATTAATTCTTCCAGAAACCCCTTAAATCATCATGGCACGACGTAGTAGAATTGACAAATATGAGCCAATTAATTGGCATGAAATCTTCCAGAAGGTATGTTTCTTAGCAGTGTGTGTGTGTTTGAAGATTTAACAATGTTAATAAATTGAAGTAATAGCAAGTTATTGACTGGAATACTTCAAGCAAAGTTAATGTTTCTTTATACAGTGTGTGTGTATGTGTGTGTGTGTATGTACAGTATATATATATATACTGTATATATATAAAAATGTAAATGTTCATTTGTTCAAAGTTGCTAATCTCCAGAAGTTCTTCACCGATTGCTTTGAAATTTTCATACAAAGTTCCATTCGCATTCGAGCGGGTTTCAATATACATAGTACAGTATATAGATGGACATCTATATACTATATACATAGTATATAGATGATGGACATCTATATACTATATACATAGTATATAGATGATGGACATCTATATACTATATACATAGTATATAGATGTCACATCTGTGATGGGGAAAAAACATGTTTTTTTTTTTTAAACTGTCTTTCATGTGTATTTCATGTGAGGGAAATCTTTGAAACCTCATTGCCGATTGCTTTGAAATTTTGACACAACGTTACGTTCGAATAGGTGCGTGTTTTTATATTACTACTATATACATGTCTCGCCTGTGACAGAAAAAAACATGCTTTTTTGAAAAACAGCGCCATCTGTTGGACGTAAGAGCAACACATGCTGTAATCTCTGAAAGTTCTTCACCGATTGCTTTGAAATTTTGACACAACGTTCCATTCGAATACACGCGTGTTTTTATACTGTATATCTACTATATAAATGCCACACCTGTCACAGGTATAAACATGCTTTTCTTAAAAAAATAAAAAAATAAAAAATAATAAATAAATAAATAAATAATGGCGCCATCTGTTGCACGTAATAGCAACACACGCTATACAGTGGCACCTCGTATTAAGATTGCCCCGACTTGCGATAATTTCGAGTTACGATGTAAATTTGATCGAGAAATGCGACTCAACTTACGATAGTGTCGTCGACTAACGATATTTGTTGGTACACATTTGGGTCGACAGAGTGCGTGGTTCCCAGTCACGCGGGCTGACCTGCCTCAGTTTACTAGAGCTGCCTGCTTAGTGACGATCACGCCTATAAGAAATTCCATTTTTGTTGTGATTTTTTGCTTTTTGAACATAAAACTATAATATATAATGCCATGGGTTCCAAGAAAGTCAGTGGTAAGGTTCAACCTAAGAAAATAGTTGTGTTTAGAGGCAATAGAGGATCTCCCTTCCTCATTAAGAAAATGTGTGAAGTATGGGAAGAACTGCAAAGGTTTGTTGAAAAAACTCACCCAGATAAAGCTGTAGCAGGCCATTGCATTGATCTTTAAATGACAAAGTGATGTCTTGCTACAGACAAGTGTTAAAATGAAGGGAAAAACAAGTGTCTTTAGACAGATTCTTAGTAAGGCAAGCAAGCAGTGAGCCACAAGCAGGTCCTAGTGGTATGTAGGCAAAACATGCAAGAGAGTGTATCCCAGAAAAGTCATCACTGCCTGATGTTATAATGGAAGGGGACTCCCCTTCCAAACAGTAACACCTCTCCTCCCCCCTCATCACCATCTTCCATATGCCATCAAGAGTCCTCCATAAAGGTAAGATAAACATGTATACTGTATTGTAATTAGAGAAAAAAATTGTATTCAGTATAAAATGTATTTGTAAGTTAATATTTTGGAGGCTGGGGAACGGATTAATTAATTTTCCTTTATTTCTTATGGGAAAAATTGCTTCGACTTACAATACGTCTCTGGGAACGGATTACCATCGTAAATAGAGGCCCCACTGTACTAAATGTTATGATTCCATTTCATTGTTTCCGATTGCATTGATAAATAGAATTTTCATAGATTTTGATTTATTTTCATTTTGATTTATTTATTGTGTGACATTGTATTGGAATTGAGCAGTGTTATTTACCATACCGTTCATTTCATAAGTATAAGTATAGATTCCACACTTGTGACAGGTAAAAACACTTTTTTTTTTTTTTAAACAAATCCAGCCAGCCTGTGGTCTATCCCTGTGCCCATGATGTCCATAAGTTCGCAGCTCTTGCTGCCGTCTTTGGGAATATGTCTTGGTCTGATATTTGGGCGTGGGATTTTTGGCAGTCGAACAGGGTCCTGGCTGCTCGTTACCTCGTGAATGTCCCTGGGCCCCGTCGAGCCTGTGTCGCTTTGGGTTGGCGGTTGCAGCCAGTTGTCTCGACTTTGCGTTGAATGAGCAGCGATCGCCTCCCGGGTATGTCCCTATGGTTTTTATTTGCGGGTAGGTAACTCCGGGAAGCTGACGGGGCTTCCCTCAGAAAACCAGCGTTGAATGTAATGAAACGCCATTTTTGGGGCGAGTCCCGGAGGCTCCCCGGCAACCTTCCCTCCCCCTGGTCGGCGGTTTTCACGTGTTTATTGATGTCCAGCCTCAGCTGAGAGGTGGATGGCTGGCATGTAGGTCTGGGGCTCCCCCTCCCGGGGAGGGAAGAGCTGCACAGACTGTGGCGCGGCGATGTGTGCCGTCATACTCGTTTGCTCGTTTCTGTTTGGGAGTTCTATCCACTTGTTTGGCTTTTTGTAGCAATTTTTACCAGAATAGTTTTTTTTGGGACACCTACCTTTCTGGGTGCCTAACCCGGTCGATGGCAGACATAGAATGCTTCCATCCATACGGGGGTTTCAATAGGACATTGCTCCTCGTGCTTCTGTGAGGGGGCCAGGTTCTGGCTCGTGGTCCCCAGTAGACCCACAGAACTCCATACACATGACTGATGCCACGGTCTGACATTAGCATATCAGCCTGGATATGTTAATATGCTAATTTTCTGGGCGAGCCTCCAGGACTCGCCCAGAAAATGGTGTTTCATTATATTCAACGCTGGTTTTTTCTAATGTATATGCAAAAAAAGTGAAAAATTGAGACATACTGCACAATTTAATGATTCACAAGAAATATTAATAACATTGTTGTCTTCTTTTTATCTTCTAGTGTGGGTTTGGTCAACATTACTAACATTACATATCAATATGAGATCTTAATGATCCATGGTTAACATTCATGATTTAATAAGGATAATACTGGTAATAATAATAAAAGCTATAATTTAAACCTTTATTACTTATTTCTTTTTATTAGCAAGCTTAGGTATACACAGCAATGTGCTGCTACCCTATTCTATATGAAAGATTACAGTGTAGATCATAAACTAGCTACAAGCTCATCCAACATCTCCACCTCACAAGATGGCCAGTCATACATGGAATTAGGAGAGAATAAGAAATGTTAGGCTGATCTATTAGCCCCCTCTAGCAAAATCTGGGTACAGCACAAGAATATCTTCCAATATTTCTGAGTGTATGAAGTAATTACAGAGCTCAAAGTACCTCATACCATTTGGTCTGAAGTCACTGATAACAGGGCAATCACAGATATAGTGTTGGAGAATATGTTCTCTCAAGTAGGACTGAAAACCGATGTTTTTACCAGGAGGGTTATAAACCCATGGAACCGCCTACCCGCTGAAGCCGTAAATGCCAAAATCCAGCTAGAAAATATCATAGGACAATTGGTGGGCCTTAAGAAGCCCCCGGGTTTTTGTCCTCGTCGAGGCCACTAGATACCTGGTTGATGGTTGATGGGGTTCTGGGAGTTCTTCTACTCCCCAAGCCCGGCCCGAGGCCAGTCTCGACAAAGTTAGTGGCTCTTGGGTAAATTTAGGTAAATATATACATAAATTAATACCATTGCTTCTCAAATCTTCGGAGCGACAAGGAAAGCTACACACTATCTCTTAGAATTACATAGGTAAACAAAAATTGTAACATACCAGTATTTGTTTACTACAATGTCAGTGCTGACTGTAGAAGTTGAAAAAACATTGTTTTACTTTGAAATATACTAATTTTATAAGAAAATTCGACGTAAATAAGTCTGTTAAGTTAAAATTGTTCTGCACATTTTAATTTTATATATCACTGGTAGTGATATTAGCCCATGTAATTTTTTTAATATCAAGTAATTAGCATTTTAGCTTCACCAATTTAGCTTATAAAATTTTAACAAAATTTGTTTTGTTCTGTAGATTGATAGTGATGGAGATGGATACATTCTTCGGTCTGAGCTTAAGAAATACTTGCTGAACACCCCAGTAAGTGAAGTTCCCCTCTCAGATGATATGGTGGATAGTATGCTTTATCATGTGGACTACAACAATGATGGCTACATTAATCTACAGGAATTTTATGGCCTGGTAAGTATTTTATTACTTTTTGTTGTGCATCTGTGCCTATCTATTAGTACTGGTATTTGTGGGGAAGAGATCTTTAAAATCTTGGGTAGAAGTTGTCTTGAAAACTCACCTGATTTATGACGAATTTGTGATTGTATGTATTTACAAACAAACTTATCAGACATATACAAAAGCTTGTACTGTATGTGTTTATCATTTCCACTCTTGTCCTTTTGTTCTCCAATGTTAGATTAAACTTTCAGATCTATTCTTAGTACTGGGACCAACCCTGTGGCAAATATCTGAATTTATATTTATTATTCTTTATGAGGAATGTGTTCTATATGGAAGCTTCATATGCTAGGACTGTTTACATTAGATGTCCATATAGTACTGACTACCTTATCTTGGTTTTTAATGGTCATTTCTGAGGGGAGCCCCCTCGGCTCCCTGGAGCTATCGGGCTAATATGCAATACATTAGATCAGGGCATTAGTCAATATGGAGTTCAGCCTACCAGGGACCACGAGCCAGAACCTGGCCCCCCCCCCCCCCCCATCAGATAGGCACAGGTAGCAATGACCCTGGAAAACACCCCTTTTGGTTGGGGTTTTTATTTATCTGCCATCGACTGGCAGTTAGGCCTGACAGCTGAGTGGACAACTCTTCGGATTCGTAGTCCTGAGGTTCCGGGTTCGATCCCTGGTGGAGGCAGAAACGAGTGGGCAGAGTTTCTTTCATCCAGATGCCCCAGTTACCTAGCAGTAAACATGTACCTGGGAGTTAGACAGCTGCTACGGGCTGCTTCCTGGGGGTGTGTAACAAAAAGGAAGCCTGGTCGAGGACCGGGAGGCGGGGACGCTAAGCACCGAAATCATCTCAAGATAACCTCAAGACAGGCACTTAGAAAGGTAGGCATACCAAAACAGACCCCACGTGGTAAGAAAATTGCAACCAAAAACTGAAGAGAAGCAGAATGCCCTGAATTCCCAAAGAAACACGCAAACCCCCCCCCCCCCACCCCCACCCCCCCCTAGGGAGAGCCCAGAGACTCTGCACCAGCTAGCTACCCAACCCCGGTTAGCTGGCTAATGCAATCTGGGTTCAGTCGTCGACTCTGGCCTCAGTTTCCTTTGTAGTGTCCTCTGCTGTTCGTGGTGTGGTAACCAGGTGTACCTGAAGTGTAGCGGGGCTGCATGTGCTTAGTGCAGCCTTCCCTAAGTGTCCTGTGAGTACTATCATTGGGTGTCAGGGTTATCTTCCCTTGTGCTTTTGGGATGCCATTTCTGTAGGGGGTTTTGCTGCTCTGCATTTACCCCACACTTGGGGCCAGCTGGGGTTTCATGGCCCTTGTTTGGTATTGTGCTGGTTGGAGCGTCAAGGTGTTCTGCAGCCTGCCTACTGACGCGGCAGCAGCTTCCCATTTCCATGGGGACATTGTACTTTTGAGGGGGTTTTCTTTTGCTTTCTGTTTTGTCTGCTTGCTGGTGGGGGTTTGTCTGGTGTGGCTATAGGACCACTTGTAAAATTTTGGTGGCCCTCTGCTAGCTCCCTATGATTGTACACATTGCAGGGGTTTCAGTGTTGATCTCCCCCTTGTTAGCTTTGGGTCTAACCAGTTAGCAACCCCTTGCCCGGGCTTCCCGTAGCAGGCAGCCTATGGGCCCTGGAAAACTCTGTCGGGGCTCTGTAGACCTATGGATACGTCTTCCGAATTCCAGCTCGCCTCTTGCGAGTTTGAAGGTTACTGTGTGTCCTTATTTCAGGGTAACAGTCACCGCTTTTGCCTCAGTCGTGCCGCCTGTTGGGTCACCAACACGTTTGACCCGGAGTCTTGTGAGACATGCTCTTTGCTTGTTCTCCAATTTACCAATTCTGATGACATTGAGATTAGGGTACAGGCGGCGTTCGTGTTGCATGCTAGGTTTGGCATGCATCAATGCTAGGTTGGTTGCCCACCTGGATGCCCAGAGGCTGCTCCGTTTTGGTTATAGGGACCCGGACTATGGGGATGTTAGTCGCTTCCTTCGACTTTGGTTCAGTTTGCACTCCCTGGTTCTTCCCCTGTTGTTGGTCACCCCTCCCTTCCCCCCCCCCCTTTCCGGCTCTTAAAGGGCTGTCAGATTCAAATATCCCAAAAATGAAAACTGGTTCAATTTCAATCAAATTTTTCTGTGGGGAGCCCCGTTGGCTCCCTGGAGCTATCCCAGGCTGATATGCTAATGTCAGACTTTGGCATCAGTCATGTGTATGGAGTTCTTAGGCCTACCGGGGACTACGACCAGAACTGGGCCCCCTCAGAGAGGCAAGGGGAGCAATGGCCTATAGAAACCCCCGTGTGGTTGGAAGCATTCTGTCTGCCATCGACCGGATCAGACACCCAGAAAGGTAAGCGCCCCAAAACAAACCCCTATTCTGGTTAAAATTGCTACCAAAAGCCGAACTAGTGGATAGAACTCCCCAACAGAAAACATGCAAACTAGTGTTACGTCACACGTCGCTGTGCCACAGTCTGTGCAGCTCCCCCCTCCCCAGGAGGGGGAAGGGGGAGCCCCAGACCCTTCATGCTGGCTACCCACACCACAGTTCTTAGGCTGGATGTCAAAAACACAAAAAAAACGCTGACTGGATGGAGGGAGGGAGGGATGCCAGGGAACCTCTGGGACTCGCCCAGAAAATGGCGTTTCATTACATTCAACGCTGGTTTTCTGGGGGAGCCGTGTCGGCTCCCCGGAGCTAACTACCCACAGACGGAAAAAAGAGGGACTCGCCCGGGAGGCAGTCATCGCTCACTCCTCAAGTTGAAGTCGAGACAACTGGCTGCAACCGCCGACCCAAAGCGACACAGGCCCGACGGGGCCCAGGGACATTCACGAGGTAACGAGCAGCCAGGACCCTGTTCGACCGCCAAAAACCCTGCGCCCGAATATCAGACAGACATATTTCCAAAGACGGCAGCAAGAGCCGCAAACTTACAGACGTCATGGGCACGGGGATAGACTGCAGGCTGGCTGGATTTGATAACCCTGCAGACGACCTGGGAGATCCGAACCTGCGAACAGGGAAGAAGGAAAACTGGTATAACCCAAAGCGCGTCCCCGGGCACAGAAGCTGTGGCGCGCAAATAACGGCGAAGTGCCGCAACCGGACACAAAGCATGATGCACCCCCGGCCGTACCAACCAAGCATCAACCACCCACGGACCCCTCCGGAATGCAGCAGTCTCATTCTTCGCCAGAAAAGGAGGAGATGGCTGCAAGCGAACAAAACAATCTCCAAGATCAAAAGAGCAGAAACCCCTGCGCCGGAGAAGAGCATGAAGGTCCCCGACCTGACCCCCAGAGGCTAATGCCACCAAGAAGAAAGCCTAGGAGAAACAATCTCGGACCGAAGGGGCCACAACAAAACGAGGAGGCGAAAGGTAAGCGAGCACTCTGTCCAAAGACCAGGACGGCTCAGGCGGCGCATGAGCAGGCCGGAGGTGAAACAAAGCACGAGACAGCTTGCGAAACGGTGCAGACGTAACATCGATACCGAAGGCAAGCTGAAGCGGCTCCGCCAGCGCCGCACGATAAGAGGCGACAGTGTTAGGCATATGACGGTCCTGAAACAACCAAGAGAGAAAGGACAAGACCACCCTAACAGACAACGAATTAACACGACGAAGACGCAAAAAGAAACAGAAGGACCACCAGGAAACTTCATACTGCCACCGAGAAGAAGCCCTCATGTGGGACACCAACAAGGAGGCCACCTGATAACCATAGAGATGATGATAGACTCGAGTCAAAAAACCCATACGCGAAGACTCTAGGAGAAGATCGAACCAGCCACGTGACGTACCGGCCCGATCTGCTGAAAGAGGCGGAGCCGCGGGAAAACCTTCGGGTTCGGACACCGAGTAAGCAGCGCCTAAAACCAAGGCTGGGCCAGCCACCAAGTGGTCAGAAGGACAACCCTCCCCTGGTAAGTCTCCAAGCCAGTCAGGACCTGGAGCAACAGCCGAACCGGGGGGAAAGAGGTACAGGAACCCCCACCTCGACCAGTCCAGTTGAAAGGCATCGACCCCGACGGCTTCGCGATCAGGGAAGGCGCCTCGGCCACGCCGACGCGAAGAGGTCCACCTCGGGGCGCCAGAACGTCTGGCAAAGCCAACGGAAGGAAGCGTCGTCGACCGTCCACTCAGTGGAGAGGGGAACAAAGCGAGACAGGCCATCGGCCAAGACGTTGGACACCCTGTACGTGAACCGCCAGGAGAGCTAAACCCCGAGAACTCAGCAGAAAAGTCACCCGAAGCGACCAACCCCAAAGATTCAAGGACCACATTGAACCCCCTGCTGTTCAGGCAATGAACCACCGGAGAGCAGTCCGAATGGAACCAAATCGTCGATCTGCGGGCGACCCGAATCCTCTGAAGAGAAAACAACACCGCCGCGAACTCCCGCACCGTGATGTGAGCTCGACGGAAGGACAAACCCCAACGCCCCTGGCCGGCCTGGTGAGCACTGGTCACAAGGCCCCAGCCGAGAGACGACACATCTGTGTGCACATTGAGCGAGGGCTCGGGTAGGCGCCAAGGCACTGAACCGTGAAAAACCAGAAGAGGAAGCCAGCGACACAGCAGCCGACGCAAGACCCCCAGGGGTCGAACCCAGCGTTCGCGAGAGAGGCGGTGCCAGGTTGAATGTAATGAAACGCCATTGACTGGGTGAGACCTGGAGGCTCCCAGGCATCCCTCCCTCCCTCCCTCCCTCAGGTCAGGGGTGTTTTCGTGTGTTTATGATATCCAACCTTAGAACTACTGGTTGGATCGCCAGCGTGAGGGTCTGGGGCTCTCCCCCTTCCCCCTCCCAGGGAGGGGGGAGGGGTTGCGCAGACAGTGGTGCGGCAACGTGATGACGTCATGCTAGTTTGCTAATTTTCGTTTGGGGAGTTCTGTCCACTTGTTCAGCTTTCAGTAGCAATATTTTCACCAGAATAGGGGTTTGTTTTGGAGCCCCTATCTTTCTGGGTGCCAGATCCGGTCGATGGCAGACATAGAATGCTTCCAACCACATGGGGGTTTCTATAGGCCATTGCTTCTTGTGGCTCTCTGAGGGGGGCCAGGTTCTGGCTTGTGGTCCCCAGTAGGCAAGAACTCCATGCACTTTGACTCATGCCAGAAAGCTAATAGATACATTTCAGCCTGGATAGCTCCAGGAAGCCTCCGGGTCTCGCCCAGAAAATGGCATTTTATTACATTCAATGCTGGTTTGTTGTAAATATAAATGTAAACAAATTTGATTGGTTAAAAACTTGGAAAAAATACAAAAGACTTTTAGTTTGGTCACATAATATGATGAGTGGAAAGTTAATAAGACTGCTTAGGGCATATTGGACAAAATTACAAATGAAAACAAAGTGCTAAATACAGTCAAGGTGCCTCGTGGTGAGAAGGTAATGTGAAGGATCTAAAAGTACAGTGTATAGTTTATTATGCATCATTAATTATTTTTGTTTCCATAGTTCAAGGCACTTATTTGTTTATGGATTATTATTTGGTAAAAGTAAAATAAGAATTATTGTTATTGAGAAGACATTCATCGAGGTAGATTTGATTATGCACATGAAACACATTGACATAAACATACATAAACAAATTAGCTACCGACAGATCTGGATATGAAAGAGTTTACAACATTTCAGTCTTTCCTGGATCGTGTAATGGAAAAAGCGTGGTGGAGAAAGTCAGTATAAAGTAATAGTTGATGGGGAACAAGGTTGAAGAATTGGAGTAAAGTAAAAAGTATAGGAGTAGGTTTGAAGTGTAGGAATAGAGTTGAAGTATGGGAATAAGGTAAGGTATATAGTACTTTCATTTTCAGAGTTGTGGGTTGGATGTCTTAATTTTTCAACCATGTTATTGTGACTTATTGTCACAGTAACATGGTTGAAAATAATCTTATGTTGAACAACATATGTGTATGTGAATGAGTGTTTATGACTGGCAAACAATAAGAAAGGATATAGTTAAAACCATGATCAATGATGATATTTCATATGCGACCTGAATATTTCCGTACTATGGCTAGTAATGGTAAAAAACACTAATTAGTACCGAAGTTCCAGCAAAAATCAAACAGTTCCTAAACAGCAAGAATGTTTGTCATCTGGGCTGCCATGAATCTGTTGATTTAAGAATTTTACACAATAGCCTCAGCAGCAGCCTGGCTTAAGGAGCCTCCCCTTCTTTTTATTTTAAATTCTAGAATTGAAATGCAGTACATATACCATACTGTATTATGACGAAGCTGACTTTACCCTTTCTGTAATTTGATTGTTTATGGCTGGTAATTTTCCATGCAAAGAATTAAAGAAAAGATTTATAGTAGTAACAGTGCACCACTTTCTATTCTTTTCCAGGTTAATGTTCCAGTGGATGCAGGGACTCGATCTATTGTGCAGAGAACCCTTGTTGCTACGGCTTTCTCCATTGCTCCGCGCTCTCAAGTATCTCACGGGGACCGTCATTACATTGCTCAATACTCCTGCTGCCCACCTCCCCTTCTTATTCCGCTGTTGTGTACTGCTGAGGTAAGAATTATAGAACTGCTAACACTTAGATTTGTAAGGAAATTCATTATAAGTTTACCTTGATATTTTTTTTCCTTTAATCTGCCTACTCCTTTTTCTTAATGTCTTGCAATAAAGAATTACATACAGTAATTGAGGTGAATGGGGGAGAGAGGAAATGATTGGCATGTGAGGTGGTTTCAAGCCAGTCATAAAGATAAGGTAATTATCGGGAAACAGCACTAAAACAGTATGACTGTATAGCATTTGGAAGGAATATGAAGATGGAGTGAAGGAATGGTGCCCAACTACTTGGACCATTGGGGATTGAATGCTGACCTGCGAGAAGTGAGGCTGTCGTTGTGCCGACCAATCTTGGTGGATGGACAGTCTGGTGGTAAGAAAAGGGAATTAGAATTCTACATGATGGTGTAGTATGTGCTGTGGAAGAATTGGTAAATGGTGAGGTGTCTGCTCTAGGTATTTGAACCTTGTATCAATAGTTTTCTAATTCTTCCAGGTTGGTAACTTCCCACCCCCATGAAAGAGGAAACTGTTATAATATATAATTCCTCTGGCTACATACTTTTCACTTAAATTCTACCAAACGTCCATATTGTCTTTCCAGTGACTGCTATATTTCTTTTGTCATTTTTAACATTTTCTTTGCAAATGGTATCAGCTTTACATACACGATTGCTGTATCTTGTATAATTCGTTGTCATTTACATTTGGTGCCCTTCAGAGTCTGCCTCAGAAATAAGATTTTATGAGGTCAACCATTACCATTGGTAAGTTCTCGGACTATAATGCGTATCCATTTAGAAAATAAATAGGTAGAGATAGTTTAATCAGTTGAATTAAACCTTTACTTATATAAAATTACTAGATTTTGAATATTAATGAAATGGGTATGTTTCATCTAAAGCATGGATTGGAATTTCATCATTACCCCATTTCAGTGAAGTGGTGTATTCTTGAAAAGCCTCCCTAAAATTAAATTCATGGAAAATTAACTTGTGAGGAAAATTTTTTAATGCATTCCAAAAACTCCAAAATACTTTTTTTTTCTGTGGGGAGCCCGCTTCGTCTCCCTGGAGCTTTTGAGCTAAATGTGTGATATATTAGACCTGGGCATTAGTCTGTAGAGTTTGACCTACCGGGGATCACAAGCCAGAACTTTGCCCACTCAGAAGTTGCAGGAAGCAATGGTCCTGAAAAACCCTCCCTGTGGTTGGGGGTTTTCCCTTATCTGCCATCAACCAAGGTTAGGCACCCAGAAAGGTAGGGATAACAAAACAAACTCCACATGGTAAGAAAAGTACAAAGAAAACCAAACAGAGGCAGAACTCCCTCCAATCCCAAGGAAACAAGCAAACGTCACATTCTACTGCTGCGCCACTCATCCGCACAGCCCTTCCCCCTCCCCTCCCCTCTTCTTCCCTCCCCTTTCCTCTTCTTCCCTCCCCTCCCCCTCCCTCTCCCCTCACCCTCCCCGCGCCAGCTACCCAGCACTCCAGTTTGTTAGCTAATGTGGTCCAAGACGGACGTCTTCTCTGGCCTCGATTTCCAAGGTGGTGCTTTGCCTTCGTGGCAACCTCTGCAGTGTTGTTGTGTGTGATGACCAGGTGTCATCAGTGCCGGGGCTGCATGCACTTAGGAGCATCCTTCCCTAGGTACCCTGTGAGTACTGCCCTTGCGTGTTAGTCTTCCCTTCCCTTCCCTGGTGCATTCGGGAAACCATTTCCATAGGGGTTTTTGCTGCTTGGCATTTACCCCCCCCCATCCTTGGGGCCATCTGGGATTTTGTGGCCCTTGTTTGGCCTTGGGTAGAGAGTGGTATTGTGCTGGTTGGGGCATCAAGGTGTTGTACAGCCTGCCTACCTGTGCGGCAGCCAGTTCCTGTTTCCTCGGGGACCTCTTTTTTTTTTTTTTTTTTTTCCCCCCCTTCTGGTGGAGAGTCTGCCTGGTTAGGGAATCTTCCTGGTGGGAAGTCTGCCTGGTGTGGCTTTAGTTCCACGTCTATTATTTTGGTAGCCCTCTGCTAGGCCCCCGTGATTGTACACGTTGCAGGGATTCAGTGTTTTGATCTCCCCCCTTGTTATGCAGGCGATGAGTCACAATAACGTGGCTGAAGTATGTTGACCAGACCACACACTAGAAGTACTGTTAGCTTTGTCCCCCCTTGTTAGCTTTGGATCTTAACTGGTTAGCAACACCTTGCCCGGGCTTTCTGTAGCAGTCAGCCTATGGACCCTGGAAAACCCTGTTGGGGCTCGGTGGACCTATGGATACATTTTCAGAGTTCCAGCACACCTCGTGCGACCTCGAAGAGTGCTGTGCGCCCTTGTCTCAGGGTGACTGTCACCTCTTTTACCTCCATTATGCTGCCTGTTGGGTCAATGACACCTATGACCCGGAGTCTTCAGAGTCTTGTTCTCTGCTTGTTCTCCAGTACTATTCTGATGACATTGCTGTTAGGGTACGGGCAGCATTCTTGTTGCATGCTAGGTTTAAGTTGGTTACCCACCCGTATGTCCCACTTTGGTTATAGGGACCCAGAACTGGGGGCGTTAGTCGCTTTGATTATGGTTCAGTCCACGTTCTCTATTCCTTCCCCTGTTGTTCACTCTGCTCCCCTCCCCCTGCTTCCGGCTCCCAAACGTCTTGAAGGTTTGGAAGTCGGGGCAGGGTTTAGTTGGTAATGAAGCTCGGGCAGCTTTGGAGGCTGCCCCATTCATCGTATTAGGTGTGTTTGGAGATTCTGGAGTCTTCCTGGCTGGCAGACTGCCCATTCTTTTTATTGGGGACATGGCATGGGTTCCATTGGTCCCACATACTTTGAGTGACAAGAAATGTCATCTACTGTTCTGCAGGTTTATTTGGGGGGAAGAGATGGAGTGTCTTAATTCTTGCTTGTTCGCCCCTGTGCTTTCTCAGAATGTTTGCCTTGTGCTGCTACATGTGCAGGTTCCTACCCTTTCGGCATTTTTGGTTACTGAGGCTTTGCATGCCCGTGGGCATTTGGCTTCGGTCTTGTGCTTCTTTTTTCTAATAGAGCTGTCATTGACCTGGCTTGAGGATGTGGAGGTGTTGAGTGCCAGGCGTTAGTCTGGTGTGCTGTCCTCTGTGGCTCCGGCATCGGCCACATTGTTGAAGCTGTTTGCACCTATCCTGAATGAGGCGATGTCTGTTCTTTGCTTCTTGCCTCGCGTGTCGACAGGCTGTGTGCTCTCTGTATTTGGCGGCTGTTCCCTGGCTCTTAGGTTTTCATCTCCATTTTGTGCGTTGCCATTTGCGGAGTCTTCTTTCACGTAGTTTCTGCAAGTGGCTTTGTCTAGTTGTCGTCCTACGTCGGACTTGTTGGTTCTCCGGAGTGGCCATTCTCGGTCTTCTCGTATGGGTCATGCCAGGGCTCGAGGTTCCACTGGTTAAGGTGGGCCTTTGGTGTCAGTTTCTGAGCCGATGTTGCTTTCACTGCTGGCGTCGTCTAATTGGCGTGATAATTGCTCTGATCGTTGGCCGGCTTCTCATAAGGGGCATCGGCCCTTTCGCAGTTCGCCCCGTTGACGAGGCAATGGGGGGGGAGGGAGGCTTGCTCTGTTTGCACATGCTTGGTCCCACAATTTGTGGGGGTTTTCAGTCGTGTCATCCGGCCTGTGGTGGTGTTGGATGGCTCCTCCTGGGGGGGAGGGGGAGGGGCTGACGGGGCTAGTTTCTTCCCCTGCACTTCGTCAGGTCATTTTGGGGTGGGTGCTCTTGGGCATGGTCGAAACGACTGTCCCTCAAGTGGGTTTCTCGCCTGTTCCCAGTGCCGAAATGGGAATGTGCAACAGTTCATTCTGGACTTGTCCCGTTTGAACCCCCCTGGATTCCTTGCCCCTCCTTTCAGATGACTAGTCTATCTCGGGTCTGACTATTTTTAGAGACGGGTGCTTTTTATGGTATCCCTGGACCTCAAGGACACGTATTGGCACATCACTATTCATCTGGGGTTCAGGGACTGGCTAGATTTCATGGTGGGGTGTCAGGCTTACCACTTTCATTGCCTTCCTTTTGGCTTGAATCTGGCACCTCGCATATTCACGTGTCTTACCCGGGTCACGGTGACCCATCTGTGTCTGCTAGGGGTTCAGGTCCTGGCCTACCTCAACGACTGGCTGGTGTGGGCTTCCAGCCAGTCCCCTTATCTGCTCACCAGGAGTGTGGTTCTTTCCCAGCTTTCACGGCACGGCAAGTTTCCTGCCGTGGCTGCCGTGTTTGGCAACATGTCCTGGGCTGATATTTGGGGGTGGGAATTTTAGGTACGAACAGGGTACTGGCCACCCGTTATTTGGTTAACATTCCTGCTCCTGGGCATTCCTGTTTTGCTTTCGGTAGCAGGTTGCATCCAGTTGTCTCGACTTTGCATTGAGGAGTGTGTGGCGGCCGCCTCCCGGGTAAGTCCCTCTTTTCCTTATCTTTGGTTATCTAGCTCCAGGGGAACCAAAGGGGCTTCCCCTCAGAAAACCAGCGTTGAATGTAATGAAATTGCATTTTCTGGGTGAGCCCTGGGGGCTCCCTGGCAACCCTCCCTCCCTTCGGGCGGCGATTTTTCGAGTTGTTTGATGCTTGGCTTCCAAACTGGAGTGCTGGGTAGTCGGTGTGGGGAGGGGTGGGCTGTGCGGACGAGCGGCATAGCAGTGGAGTGTGATATTTGCTTGTTTCCTTGGGATTGAAGGGAGTTCTGCCTCTGTTTGGTTTTTGTTTGTACTTTTCTTACGATGTAGGGTTTTTGTTATTCCTACCTTTCTTGGTGCCTAACATCACAGAGTAGCGGCACTTTGACACTCCAGAAAATCATCTATAGTTGCACTCTACTGCCTCATAGGGCTAGTTGTATAGTTTCTTGTGAGTTGTAAATAAAAAAATAGATTTAATCTAATACTGTACAGTGGTATCTCGGATTACGAGCGTCCCTGCTTACGAGTTTTTCGGGTTATGAGCAAGATTTGCTCGGAAAATTTGGATCAGGATATGAACGTTGCCTCGGGATTCGAGGGTGTTGATACGCGTACTGGTCGACCTAGCGCGTGGCACGGCGATCACCCATTGGCAAATGGAATTTAATGTTAATAAATGCCATGTTATGGAATGTGGAATAGGAGAACATAGACCCCACACAACCTATATATTATGTGAGAAATCTTTAAAGAATTCTGATAAAGAAAGAGATCTAGGGGTGGTTCTAGATAGAAAACTATCACCTGAGGACCACATAAAGAATATTGCGCGAGGAGCCTATGCCACGCTTTCTAACTTCAGAATTGCTTTTAAATACATGGATGGCGATATACTCAAGAAATTGTTCACGACTTTTGTTAGGCCAAAGCTAGAATATGCAGCAGTTGTGTGGTGCCCATATCTTAAGGAGCACATCAACAAACTGGAAAAGGTGCAAAGACATGCTACTAAGTGGCTCCCAGAACTGAAGGGCAAGAGCTACGAGGAGAGGTTAGAGGCATTAAATATGCCAAAACTAGAAGACAGAAGAAAAAGAGGTGATATGATCACTACATACAAAATAGTAACAGGAATTGATAAAATCGATAGGGAAGATTTCCCGAGACCTGGAACTTTAAGAACAAGAGGTCATAGATATAAACTAGCTAAACACAGATGCCGAAGAAATATAAGAAAATTCACTTTTGCAAACAGAGTGGTAGACGGTTGGAACAAGTTAGGGGAGAAGGTGGTGGAGGCCAAGACCGTCAGTAGTTTCAAAGCATTATATGACAGAGTGCTGGGAAGACGGGACACCACAAGCGTAGCTCTCATCCTGTAACTACACTTAGGTAATTATCCCTCAGTTTACCAGAACCTCGTGCCCAGTGACTATCCCACCTGAATTCTTCACAAGGATTTACAGTTTTTTGTTGGAATTTTGGCCATTTGAGCATAAAAGTTGTTATATATCACGCCATGAGTACCAAGAAAGCCAGTGGTAAGGTTCAACCTAAGAAAATAGTTGTGAGTAGAGGCAGTAGAGGATGTCCCTTCCTCGTTAAGAAAATGTGTGAAGTATGGGAAGAACTGCAGTTTTTTTTTTTTTTAATAACTCACCCAGATAAAGCTGTAGCAGGCCGTTGCATTGACCTTTTAAATGACAATGTGATGTCTTGCTACAAACAAGTGTTGCAAAGAAGGGAAAAACAATGTTCAGTGGATCGTTTCGTTGTGAGAAAATGAAGCAGTGAGCCACAACCAAGACCTAGTGGTATGCAGGCAAAATGTGCCAGAGAGTGCACTCCAGAAAAATCTTTACTGCCTGATGTTATAATGGAAGGGGACTCCCCTTCCAAACAGTAACACTTCCCCCCCCCCCCCCCTCCTCACCATCTTCCATACACCAACAGGAGTCATCAGCAAGGGTAAGTAATAACTTGAACATACTTTTGCAGTGTAGATTTGGATGAATTGGGTATAAAATTTAGCTTGAAGTGAGGTTTTTGCATAGTTAGGAATGGATTAATTCATTTCCCATTATTTCTTATGGAGAAATTAGCTTCGGTTTACAAGTTTTCGGGTTATGAGCTGTCTCCAGGGACGGATTAAACTCTTAAACTGAGGTACCCCTGTACATTCATAATAATATTGATACAATAGATCTTTAATCAAAAAGTGAAGTATTCCTTGTGGAGATATCCCAGTTGCTTCTCTGGAATTCATCTTTTGTTTTGTTTTCCTAATAGCAGTTTTAGGCCCAATATTAGTGTGTAGATTACCAGATTAATTTGTAGATTACCATTTAAATAATTACCATTTAAAACATACAGATTTATGGAAACATAGTAATTATGTAATGTGTTAAATTAAATGTCCAATCCAACAAGATTTCAAAATGTTTAAATGATTTATGTTATTGCATACATTACATTATAATTAATCAGTTTCCAACTTTCTTGGGGTTGGGAGGCATCAACCTGGATAAATGGCATAAAACACCATTGAAAGGGGAGGATATTAAAACTACTCTGATTACACACAGAAATCACAATAGCGTGATGCGTGTAATGAAGTAAGGGCGGAGAGGTAGAACGGCCTATTGACATAGCTCGAGTGCATAGGGGAGTTGTGTAAAACCCTGGTTTGTGTCTCGGAGAGGCTGCAGGATCCAAGTAAGTTCAATAGAACTTCTGGTTTCAACTCTTTTGACCATGTCGTAGCTCAGTCAATTAAGGCAGCGTAATGGGATGCTCTCGGACGTAGGCTCAAATCCTCGTCACGGCCCTTGTGGATCTGTACTCCGATTCAATATACTGTATATAAAAAGTTAAAGTTTGGAGCATTCATCCATAGCAACCCTCCACAATAGTACATCATAGAACCAGGTGTACCGTGTTTTTTGCAAGTTATTTACAATATAAATAAATTCCTCCTTAAATTGCTGCCACCCATATACTATGCAGTAATTGCTCAATCCCACCTCCTTACACACTTCCTCTTCTCTTGTTATGCCATTCAGTTGAATGTTCTCTTCACCAGTCTACCATAATTCATTTGTTCAACATACCCAGACCATCTTGATATGCACTTTTCAATCTTGGGAGTTGTAGCCACTCGTGTGCCTTCTGGTACACGAGTGGCACATGGTACATTTCTTCCTGTCATGTTTCTTGTAATCAGAACTATTGATGCTCCAGTCACTTTTCCTTCCCTGACTCGGCCTTCTCTCAATTTGATTAATCAAACTTCTTTTCTTAGTCTTATGGCCCAGATATTTAATGTGATCAACACAATCCTGGTGTGCACCTACACTAATATTTAATGTCACTCATTATACCACTGAAGAAGCAAGAGAATAAGCATATGATTGAATAAGCTTTTGCAGATTTAATCTACTTGGTTCCCTACATATCTGAAATAACATAAATCAAAGGTATAAGGAAGGAATTACAAATCATAATACAGAAATCTACAAGAAGAAATGAATATTATCCAATGAATAGGATATTTCTAAATATCACAACCGTTAACTGTTATACATGCACCAACTCCTACCTAAAAACAATTGTTTCATACCATTAGTAGAACATGACCAATGTGATCATTCTTTCAAGTTTTTGTCTGCTTTGTCAGTCTTTTTTTTTTTTATGTATGAAGGTGATGTGAACTTAAAATCATAATATCGTGCCTTTCAGCAAATATCTACTGCAGGACCTACCTTATTCATTACTGACCAATTTCTCAGTACTAGTAATTAACTGTACTCTTGCAATTGCTATCTTACCATATTCTCTGCCTACTACAATACATTTAGGAAGTTATTGCCTCTTTAATTTTTGTTTGCAACATCATCATTTATTTCCATATAATGGTATAATCACTGCTTGCTTCCAGATGCTTAAATGCTTGTTTAATTTGATTTTTCTGTGAAATTTGTTATTCCGAAATACCCTTTGTGTTTAGGCATTTTTTCCTAAAGCAAATACTGTACTATTACTCCAAAGCTATAAAAGCGTGTTGAATTTTCTTTGAGTGTTGCTGTTGGCTTTTTCTTGTATGTGTGCAAGGAGTTAATTGGTTATTGAAATGTAAAATTACTGTATTGTTCTGGTTTTCTAAAGTGTTTTGGGTAGTGTGGCATGTCTTAAGTAGGTGGATGGAGCAATAAAAAATAAGTTTTTCTGTTGTAGGTTGGTATATTTGTGTACTATGCAGTGACCATGGGTGATATAGGCCCTTATTCTCCCATTCCATGGTCCTCCCCACTCATTTATGATCCTTATCGCCGTCTGGAACTTTGGAGATTCATCTCCTATATGTTTCTTCATGCTGGGTATGTATGCTCATTAAGTGTTCATTTATTTGTTAAAGCTACATATGTCATTAGTGAGGATATTTGTTTTATTTGCATAAATTCATAGCAATCGCCATTACTGCATGTTATATTTAATAACGTTCTTCAAAATGAAGTACTGTATGAGCTCAATTATCCAGATTATATGGTAAGGACCCCCCACCTGGACAAGCAGGATTCATACAAGGGAAGTCTAAAAATGACCATATTCCAAAAATTTTGTACCCCAACCAACATAATTTGAACTTCAACACACACTGTAAATCAAAAATGTAATTTAAAAGAGAACCTAAGGCTTACCTTGTTACCTATAGTTCATCTTCTTGTTTGATAATGTGGATCTTGAAATGTGTAATTCTTTAAAATTTACGTAACCTAATCTCCGGTTATCCGGATCATTATCCGGATATTGCAAAGTTTTGCCAGAAAATTATCTGGATGTGATTTGGCCAGATAACCCAAATATCCAATTTAGTGGAATCCGGGTAAGCGAGCTCATACAGTAATGTTACATAAATTTTTTGTTAAATTTTGTCAGCCGATACATTTTGCCTTATTGAGAATATCTAAAATTAATATGGCATTTACAATACTGGTACAGCCTTCACTGGTATGATAGATTGGTTCATTCATACATTATTCTTATCACATGGCTCACCTGCAGTGTAAAGTGTTGAATGCCTTTCCTCAGAAGTTGCATATTTGAGTTGTATTGTACTTTTTAACACTGCCTGGCCGATAACTCATATTGCATTTTTATATGAATATACTCAGTCTGGGCGAGGACACCCTTGTGTCTTAAATTAAAATATTTGTTAAAAATACATTTCTGGGGGGGGGGGGGGCATTGGCTTCCCGTAACTATCCAGGATGAATATATGGATATGTATATCTTTCTGGCATCAGTCAATGCATGGAGTTCTTGCCTAGTGGGGACCACAAGCCAGAACCTGACCCCCCTTTTGAGAGGCACGAGGAGCAATGGCCTATAGAGACCCCCCCCCTCTGTGGTTGGGAGCATTTTATGTCTGCCATCGGCCAAGATAGGCACCCAGAAAGGTAGGCGCCCCAAAACAAACCCCTATTCTGGTAAAAGTATTGCAACTGGAAGCTGAACAGGTGGACAGAACTCCCCAAACGAAAATTAGCAAACTAGCATGACATCACATCGCCACGCTGCTGCCTGCGCAACCCCCCTCTCCCCGGGAGGGGGAAGGGGGAACTCCAGACCCATCCGCTGGCGACCCAATCTTCAGTTCTTAGGCTGATGGGAGTCTGGTGCGGTTGTGCCTCTGGTTCCAGTTCCAGCCAAGAACGGCTGCATTTCGGAGGGGGCCTTGGGTTGTTGATGCTTGTTTGGTCAGGCCGGGGGTGCATCATGTGGGGTGTCCGGTTGCGGCTCTCCGCCGTTATTTACGCGCCACGGTTTTGGTGACCGGGGATGCGCTTTGGGTTGACCCAGTTTCCCTTCTTCCCTGTTCCCGGGTCTCTCAGGTTGTCCGCTGGGTTATTAAGTCTAACCAGCCTGTGGTTTATCCTTGTCCGCAACGAGCATAAGTTTGCTGCTTTGACTGCCATCTTTGGCAACATGTCTTGGGTTGACATTCGGGCGTGGGGTTTTTGGAGGTTGAACAGGGTCCTGGCTGCTCACTACCTGGTGAATATTCTGGGGCCAGGTAGGGCCTGCGTTGCCTTGGGTTGGCGGTTGCAGCCAGTTGTCTCGACTTCGTGTTGAGGAGTGAGGACGAAACGCCTCCTGGGTAAGTCCCTGTTTTTCCTTTTCTTTGAGTAGTTAGCTCTGGGGAGCCCACGGGGCTCCCCCCAGAAAACCAGCGTTGAATGTAATGAAATGCCATTTTCTGGGCGAGTCCCAGAGGCTCCCCGGCATCCCTCCCTCCCTCCCCGGCCGGGGGGTGTTTTTCACGTTTTTTGGACATCCAGCCTAAGAACTGTAGGTTGGGTCGCTGGCAGATGGGTCTGGGGCTCCCTCTTCCCCCTCCCGGGAAGGGGGAGTTGCACAGACAGGGGCGCGGCGACGTGATGGTGTCATGCAAGTTTGCTAATTTTTGTTTGGGGAGTTCTGTCTACCTGTTCGGCTTTTGGTTGGTCGCAATACTTTTACCAGAATTTGGGGGGCCTACCTTTCTGAGTGCCTATCCCGGTCGATGGCAGACATAGAATGCTCCCAACCACAGGGGAGTGTCTATAGGCCATTGCTCCTCGTGCCTCTCTAGAAGGGGCCAGGTTTTGGCTTGTGGTCTCCGGTAAGCAAGAACTCCATGCATTGACTGATGCCAGAAAGATATACATATCCATTCAGCTTGGATAGCTCCAGAGAGCCTCCGGAACTCACCCAGAAAATGGTGTTTCATTACATTCAACGCTGGGTTTTCTCCCCCGATCATTATGGGACTGGTTTTAAAAAATGCGCCAACGTCTTCTGATTTTCTGTGATGACCCATGTGGCATCATGGCACCACCACCCACACAGTAAGTAGGCCTGTTGTTATTGTGTTCACACCCATGACCACTGCGGCCTTCCCTCGCGCAAAAACGTGTGCCCGTTCTGGTTATTTTTTCTCGGCTATATTTGTTAGTGCCTTTATAAACAGACTACATATACTCGAAGATGGATAGTGATAAAAAACAGAGCCAGTCCATGATGAAAGCAGGGAAAGAAACTCGTCTGAGTGAAAAGCAAAAATGTAATATCTGCACAAATGCAAAAACTGTACATTCCTTAGAAAAATCTGTGGTTAGATGAAGGCACAATGTCATGGAGGGGCCATCTGTCTTTCAAGGTTTATAATCCAAATAAACCTGATATATGGAGTAAAGTTGTACATGCTAGTTGAATTGCGTACTGGTTACATCTATGATTTTGAAGTATATTCAGGAATTGGGAAGACAACAATTCAAACGGTTATGGGCTTGATTGAACCACTGAAGAACAAAGGTTACCATTTATATATACTGTATATGGATAACTACTATAACTCAGTTCAACTTAGTGAGAAGCTGCTTGAACAAGGTGTATACACCTGTGGTACTTGCAGATTGCAGCATGGTGCACCAAAAGATCTTCGGCTACAAGTAAAGGGTAAACTGCCAATAGATAAAACTGTATTCAGATGGAAGGACAGTACTTTTGTAATCCTATTGAAAGATAAGCGAGTTCTTTCACTCATCACAACTTGTCACAATGCAGATACACTAGAAGTGGAACGAAGGAAACGCGTACGCAAACCTGACGGAACATCATTGCAACAGGTCATTGTGAACGAACCAAAGGCAATCTGTGACTACAATAACCACATGAAAGGTGTTGATCACTTCGATCAAATGGTCAAATATTATCATTTCACACGAAAATGTCACAAGTGGACGAATCACATTCTACTTTCTGCAAATCGCTATCCATAATGCTTTTGTGTTATTCAAGTACTACACAACTGATACAAAGAAACTTTCATTGCTCCAGTTCCACAAAGTAATAACTTGGTCACTGTTGAACTTTGAGTACAGTATAAGAATTGGCCTCTCCAAAATGACATCATACATGCATTACCTTGTGTCCAGTTTCATTGTCCTAAATTATTTGTACACTTCTCATATTTCATCTCTTATAATATTTCATAATTTGTTTGTTTTTTAACTTTGGAATCTAATATTGGTATTAATTTGGACCAGATTGTTCAAAAGATTTGATGAATCTTTGATTGAGAGTGAATCTCACTATTTTCATTGAATTTTGCCATTTCTTTGCATTTTTTGCATCCAAATTTCATGAGTTGTTAGAGCTAATAATAAATCATCTTTGTATGTGTTTGTTTATAAAATGCAACATTTTTGTTGCATTGAAGATAATATAACTACATTTTCTGGGGGGAGCCCCTTCGATTCCCTGGAGCTTATCCAGGCTGATATACTAATGTCAGACTTTGGCATCAGTCATGTGTATGGAGTTCTATGGGCCTACCGGGAACCATGAGCCAGAACCTGGCCCCTTCAGAGAGACAAGGGGAGCAATGGCTTATAGAAACCCCCGTGTGGTTGGAAGCATTCTATGTCTGCCATCGACCGGGTCAGGCACCCAGAAAGGTAAACGTCCCGAAACAAACCATTGTTCTAGTGAAAATTGCTACCACAAACCGAACAAGTGGATAGAAGTCCTCTAAAAGAAACGAGCAAATGATCATGACGTCACATGTTGCCGCGCCGTTGTCTGCACAGCTCCCCCTTCCCCGGGAGGGGAAAGGGGGAAGCCCCAGATCTACCATGCCGGCTATCCACCATCAGTTCTTCGGCTGATGCTAGAGACTGAGGTCGTGTGCTCCGGCTCCTGTGGTTGTTTCAGCACTGTACCTAGAGTGTGGTGACTGTCTTCTAGGTGGTGCGTGAGCCAGGAGGGATTCTCCAGTACTCGGGCTGCATGTGCCTAGGGTTTCCTTCCCTAGGTGCCCTGTAAGTACTGCCCTTGGGGCCACGTTTCACAAGTTCCTTGGGTTTTTCCCCTGCTAGGCTGTTTACTGCTTGGTTTTCGGCCACCCTTTGTGTGCTCGGGTGTTCTGTCTCCCTTGTTCGCCTTAGGGTAAGGGGCAGTTTGCACTGGTGGGGCGCAGGGTACTGCGCAGCTTGTTTTCACCAATCATGGCGGCTGGCTCAGTTCCGCCTGGGTACACTGTCCTCTTGCGGGGTTTTCTTTTTTCTTTTTGTTTGTCTGCCTGGTGGGGGGGGGGGGGGGGTCTGCCTTTGTTCTTGCCTCCTGTGTCCCCTGTGTACTGAGTATTCTTCCTTCTTCCGGTGGTTCCCCCTGCTAGGTCCCCACAAGTGTCTCACCCACGTCCCGAGGGTTCATTTCTTAGAAGGTTGTTTGGTAGACTTGGGCGCCGGTTAGCAATACCCTGCCTGGGATTACCTGAGTGTGAGTCCTATTACAGTAAACGCTCAGGACTTGTTCCCCCTTCCTACCTGCATCCGGATCCTTACCGTCTGTGGGTTCGAGGTTGGAGCGGGGCTTCGTTGGTTTCGAGGACTGGCGATCTCGGGGAATTCGCGCTGCCTGAGCCGTCCTGGTCTTCGGACAGCGTGCTCTTTCTTCTCCTCCTCGGTTTGTTGTGTCCCCTTCGGTTCAGGTTTGTTTCTCAAAGGCTCTTTTCCTGTTGGCATTTGCCTCTAGGAGTCAGTTTGGTGAGCTTCTTGCTCTCCTCCGGCGCAGGGGTTTCTGCTCCTTCGGTCGTGGCGATAGGTTTGTTCGGTTGCAGCCGTCGACCTCTTTTCTTGCACAGAATGAGACTGCTGCTTTCTGGAGGGGTCCTTGGTTGGTTGGGCCAGGGGTGCATCGTGTTTTGTGTCCGGTTGTGGCCCTTCTCTGTTATTTGCACGCCACGGCTTCTGTGTCCGGGACACGCTTTGGGTTGATCCGGTTCCCTTCTTTCCTGTTCGCAGGTGAGGGTCTCCTAGGTTGTCCGCTGTGTTATTGAGGCTAGCCGGCCTGCATTCTATTCCCGTGCCCATGATGATCGTAGATTTGCTGCTCTTGCTGCCGTCTTGGCAGCATATCCTGGCTGACATTCGGGCACGGAGCTTTTGGCAGTCATACAGAGGCCTGGCTGCTCGATATCTCGTGGTCGTTCCCGGGCCCATTCGAGCCTGTGTTGCTTTGGGTTGTCGGTTGCAGCCAGTTGTCTCGACTTTGAGTTGGGGAGTGTGCGGCGATCGCCTCCCTTTTATTTCCTGTGTGGGTATTTAGCTCCGGGGAGCCGAAGGGGCTCCCCACAGAAAGCCAGCGTTGAATGTAATGAAACGCTATTTTTCTGGATGAGACCCAGAGGCTCCCCGGCATCCCTCCCTCCCTCCAGTCGGCGCTTTTTCGCAGTTTTTGACATCCAGCCTCAGAACTGATGGTGGATAGCCGGTGCAGTAGGTCTGGGGCTCCCCATTCCCCATCCCGGGGAAGGGGGAGCTGCGCAGACAGGGGTGCGGCGACATGTGACGTCATGATCATTTGCTCGTTTCTTTTAGGGAAGTTCTATCCACTTGTTCGATTTGTGGTAGCAATTTTCACCAGAGTAGGGGTTTGTTTTGGGACGGTTACCTTTCTGGGTGCCTTACGCGGTTGATGGCAGACATAGAATGCTTCCAACCACATGGGGGTTTCTATAGGGCTTTGCTCCTCTTGCCTCTCTGAGGGGGCCAGGTTCTGGCTCGTGGTCCCCGGTAGGCCCATAGAATTCCATACACATGACTGATGCCAAAGTCTGACATTTGCAAATCAGCCTGGATAAGCTCCGGAGAGCCTCAGGGTCTCACCCAGAAAATGCAGTTTCATTACATTCAATGCTGAATGTAATGATTGGTGAGGGCAGGTTTTTTATATTACTGTGTACTATAAGTTGAAATGGAGTCCCAGAGTCCTGAAAGTGTAATCTTGGGTACAACAGTTTATATTTGTACATTCTACCAACAGTTTTTATAAGTACTGTGCTATCATTTTTGGAGGAAAGGGTTGGTAAAATGTGGTAAGCAGGCTATCTTGAGGTTATCTTAAGATGATTTCGGGGCTTAGCGTCCCCGCGGCCTGCTCCTCGACCAGTCCTCCTTTTTGCTACACACCCCCCAGTAAGCAGCCCGTAGCAGCTGTCTAACGCCCAGGTACCTGTTTACTGCTAGGTAACAGGGGTATCAGGGTGAAAGAAACATTTTGCCCATTTGTCTCCGCCTCCACCGGGGATCGAACCTGGGACCTCAGGACTACGAATCCGAAGTGCTGTCCACCCAGCTGTCAGGCTAAATCACTTTTCTTCTGGACACTGGTAAGTGTAAACAAAGACACACATGACGAATGAACAAATCTACATGGGCCGTGATGAGGGTTCGAACCATGTCACACCGCGCAATTGACGACGCGCCCTAGTCAATTGCACCATGACATGGTCAAAAGAATTACCAAAAGGTAACATAATCAAAAGAAGAGGTAGAACAGCTTGTTGACTGTTGGTAGAACAGCTTGATTCCCCAGGTGCATGGGGGGAATTGTGTAAACCCCAGGTTTGTGTCTCAGAGAGGCTGCGGGATCCATGTGAAGGCAGAAGCACTCCCAGTTGCAATTCTTTTGACCATGTTGTGGCACAATCGACTAAGGTGTTTTCTGGGATCATCCCGGACGTAGCTTCGAATCCTCATCATGGCCCTTGTGGATTTGTTCATTAGATGTATCACGCTAGTGTGATTTTTGTGTGTACACACATGACTAGTTACAATAATACTCAATATCATACTTTACCTTAACAGGTATGTGCATCTGCTGTCTAATGTGATGGTTGCCTTGTTCGTTGGGATTCCACTGGAGATGGTTCATCGGTGGTGGCGGCTTTTGATACTGTATGTGGCAGGTGTTCTTGCTGGTTCTCTTGCTGCTTCTATGTTTGATCCTCATGTAAGTATCCATATTGGCATGTTCATTTAGCCACTTATACACCCTCACTATTGTTGATAAATTTTCAACAAGCTTAATGCAATTAATGTATAATCTTAGATATATTCAGCAGCTTAAAAGATGTGTGTGGTGAGCTCTCAAATTTCTGCCAAGACAAATTTAACCATCAATGGGAAGGAGTGATGATAAGAAGGGAAGGTGTTGTACAGATCAGATATTTACTCTGAGAATCATTTTTGAAAAGTTTCTAGCAATGGATGCAAAAATTTAATTTAGCATTTTATTTGTTTAATATTTGCTGTTGCATGTGCTGAAAACAATTCAAAATGTGTTTAGTGTGGTGGCTCATATAAGTTTCCTCTCCCCAGTCATATCTGGTGGGTGCATCTGGGGGATGCTATGCACTCATTGCAGCTCACTTGGCAAACATAATCATCAACTGGTCAGAAATGCCATTTAACTGGGCTCGACTGTTGGTGCTTGTGACGATGATGGCTACAGATATTGGAGTGTTTACATACATGACCCTTACTAAAGCCGATTCACGAGTGAGTATTTTGTTTATCTTGTGATGACTTTGTGTTATTAGTTTGCATTGTGAGTGCATTGGCAAAGCTATTTGTGTAATGAACTATACCGTACTCTTGCATTAAGTGTAAACCTTATATTTTCAAGTATTGAATATACATATTTCTCGTTAATTATGATAATGTTAGAAAATCCACAGGAGCCGTGATGAGGATTCGAACTTGTGCGCTGGGTGTTCCCAGATGTACGCTCTAGTCGACTACGCCATGACATGATAAAATAATTGCAAACTGGAGTACTACTGCACATTCAAGGATTCCTGAGGCTTTCACTGACGCCAAACTGGGGTTTCACACAATTCTCCGATGCCCTCTGTCCAGTAATTTTACCTCTGACAGTTGCAATTCTTTTACCATGTCATGGCGTTGTTGACTAGAGCGTGCATCTGGGAACACCCAGTGCATAGATTTGAATCCTCATCACGGCTCCTGTGGATCTTCTCATTGATATATCACAATAATGTCATTTCTTTGCATATAATACTATTATTCGGTACTGTATTGTAAAGGGTTAGCTAGGGGGAATTTTGATAGTGAGTATATCAGGATAGTGCTGTTATTAGTACATACAAAGTAGCTTGTTGCACATGCCATGTAATGTAGGTTGTTCTTGTTTGTCAATACAAGACAGTAGTTTACTTATGTACTATTAAACAAGCTTAAGATTCAAAATAAATTTAAAGTTATTAGAGGGATAACAAATAATAATCCTTCTGCTGATGTGGGGTTATTGCTTAAATATTTTAGATCATGGAATGGTTAGTGTTATATTTGTGCTTATTTAGGAGGACTGAGCTATAGATACAGAAATTACAATAGTGTGATGCATCAAATGAACAATTCATTTGTTCAAATGAACAATTCAAACAAATTATTCATTTGATGCATCATGCTATTGTGATTTGTGTGTGTATTGAAGTAAAGGCGAAGAGAGAGAACAGCCTATTGACATTGCTCGAGTGCAGGGGGAAGTTGTGTAAAACCCTGGTTTGTGCCTCAGAGAGGCTGCAGGATCCAGTATTTTCAGTAGAACTTCGGTTTCAACTCTCTTACCATGTCGGAGCTCAGTCGATTAAGGCAGTGTCTGGAATGCTCCCGGACGTAGGTTCGAAACCTCGTCACGGCCCTTGTGGATTTGTTCACCGAGCTATAGATTCATTGTCAGTTCAAAAGGTTGAGTATTGTGGCAATTGTTTCGTATATTGGTGCCACAGTGCTTTAAATTAAAGAACAGTTGAAAGGTGCTCGTCTTGAAGATAAATAGAATTTTATATTATTGTACAATAGAGATGTGTACTTTTTATATAATTTTGGTAGATGTAGTTTTCATAGTATAACAAAGTTGTAAGTACAGTATTAATCAGTCTTGTATGTCATAACAGGTTAGTTATGTGGCTCATCTTGCTGGATTCTGTGCTGGGCTTTTGGTGGGCATGGTGACGCTGCGTAATCTTCGTGAACACCGCTGGGAAATAATTTTGAAGTGGACTGGCCTGGCAGTTTTCCTGTGCCTTATTACTGCAGCTATTGTTATTCAAATTGTATTTCCTGACTTGGTAGGGTTGTATCCACCCATGCCTAAGAAACTAATAGTTGAAAATATTACTGGAGTTGGAATGTAGTAATTTGTTTACTTCTTTTTTAAGTAAGTGCTGAATGATTCAAAAAGCTGCTTTAAAGTACAATTACACTTATCACTCAGGCTAATGCTTCTCTTAATTTTTTGTTCTTGCTTTTCTTTACTTAAGATTTTTATATACAATATTTATATATGAAGGAACAAATGTAGTAATGTGTGGTTACCAATGAAAATATTTTGATAAAAAAGCCAAAGCCAAAATCTCATTTAAAAAAAAACAAAGCTAACATTGTGTAATAATAATAATCCATTGAATCTCACAAGTTACAATCCATGTATGAGGATTTCGTTTATATATTGAATTAAGATAAAAAGTTTTGGCACTAGATTATATATGTATAGGCTTGTATGTTCAAATGCAACTGTATACATGATACATATGCATTTATACATACACCATTATTTACACACATTCACTCTCATACAATTGGGAATGAAATAGTAAAGGTTGTGCTTTTAAATGTAAAATGTTGATGACTTATTGAGAATCTCGAGTGTGATTTGTAGGATTATATTGATCCCGTGTTTAGTGAGTATGTACTTGTACCTTAATAAGGAAATGTTCTCCTCTTTACCTCTTTTTTAAGTATTTAAATATTGTGTAGCTGAAATACAGTGTACTGTATGTATGTAGTTACTGCCCTGGAGCTTGATGTTCTTTTATTTATATAACTAACTTTTATATTTTAAATGTACTCATCTCTATAAATATATTTATATTTTATTTGACCCTTGTGGTGGGGTTGAATAAATATTTGACCCCTTATATATATATACATATTAGACCCCCCACCTTCTTTTGCCATTAGTATCCTTAAAATAAAAATAATGTATGTGAACTTTGAACCATTTATATGTATTGATGTATAAGCATAGTCTTGAATTTATTGCAAGGAAGGGGGGGGGCAGGGATCACCTTTATAGGGGAGGTTACTGTGTGGAAATTTACTAGGGGCTCTACTCTGCCAGGGGAGGGATTTCTACGACAGCCAAATTAGTTTTTAGCACACGTGTAATTTTAAGTTTCAAGGAAAATTACATTAAAGTAATACAACATAAAATATTTAATAATAAATGTACACAGCAGAATAGTTAGTTGCATTACAAGTGCTCATTTTTTGCTTTATTGCACCAGATTTTGAGCAAAAATTGTTTTGGCAATATCACTTTTAAAATCCAAAGTAATATCATATAGCAGATATTAGTTTTATCCAGGAGTCTGTTACTATATTTAATTTTAGCTTTAATGTGATAAAAAATGGTTATTTAATGTCTTGTAAATTTAAAAATGCAGTTTTATTAGCCAGGTTTTTGTCCAGATATTTTTATACATTTAATATTTATTATAATAAAGGATTCTATTTACTATTTATAAAATACTGTGTATGCATTTCCTTTTGCTTTATCTTGCATTGACTTTTCCCACACATTTGATGGTGCTACATAACCTTCCCGGTTTGGTGCCTTCTCTTCGATAATTACTTACTTGCATTGACTTTTAATGTTATTTTTCTTTGTGTGAGGATGTGAAGGGTAGTTGGAAGTTAGTTTACACATCACATTTTTGTAGATGTACTTATGGAATTGAAAGAAGTTTATCAGAAAGTTTCCATCAGAAACTTAGCTCTTGAAATTAATTTGTCAGTGTTAAGACTGGTAATTAATTTCAGTAACAGATGTAATGTTTGTAAAGTAGTTCAATTGTATGAAATGTAAATAGACAATTAGAATTTTGCAGCAAGTTAATCCTACCTGACCTCTTCGTGGTGTCCCTTCATTAATGCTAACAATGGAGGCGCGCGCGTGCACACCCATTAATAATACTCCAAGAGGATTGATAAGTTATTAAGAGCCGAGCATATTATTATTCAAACTAACTAGTCAACCAAAAAAATTAAGATTTGGTTATGCAAATCTCAAAACTAAGTTTGTTGATCTGAAACACTAGCTCAAGTTGTTTTTTTTTCTTCAGAAGTAGCAGCCCATTCTCACCACAATAAACAAAACTAGTTAAGCCAGTAGCTTCTCCAATGGTTTTAATTTAAAAATTTGTATGTATGACTCAAATGATTGCATTCAGGCTTTTTAAAAATTATTCACTTACTTTCCATGTACAAATTGCATTTCTAACTGTACTGCAAATTCAAATAATTGCCAACAGACCCAAAACACCTAATCTGACCATATTAATTATGCATACAAATTAGTGTATAATATTAGTTTCATATTTGAGAAAAATAGTTATTGATTACACAGAACCGCACATCAAACTATAAATTAATCTATAGGCAGTCGTAGCTTTGATGAGCATGACTCGAGGATGGTCTGGGAATAGCTATGTTTGGTGCCAGGCGGCGCACACATGAGAAGACAGTCGGGTTGGACCCCAGCATCAGATCTGCCACCTGTTGGTACTCTTGTGTACTAAGTGCATGATTTGCAGAGATAGGGAACCTTCCATTTATTTTCTTTGCTTTGTTTCCAACTCTTTATCTTTCTGGTTTGGTGCCTTCTTTTGATAAATTTTACTTTTAGTACTTCCAACTTACTTTTTAATTAACATGTGTTTTGCTTTCTTTGTATTTTTTGGCCAATTTAGTATGGTTTTGGTAGCTATGTCTGGTACCAGAGCCAGTGTACTGCAGAGCTACTACTGGAGGTGCCCAGGAGAGGGGCACTTTTATTACATTAAATTTTGTATTGTACTGTAACAATTCACGATATATAAGCACTAAACCTGATCTTATGAAGTGGTTTAGTGCTGCAGTATTGCTTTGACTTAAAGGAAATTGCGATGCTGTTTAAATGACGAATAATATTGAATTTTTAACCTGTAATCTTCCATTGTATATCTTGAGCTGATATCTCCACACCCTGTGAAGCTGGGAAGCAGGTTAATAATAATGATGCTATATATTGGTACATTGGTTATCAACCCTTTCTTTTATGATGCACTTGTGCACGACAAGAATGGAAATGGTAATTTGTATATTATACCAAAGATAAACCGAGAGCTATTTGATTTGATTTTGTTAATTTATTATGAACAAAATACTCATCCCTTGGGCAGTAATAGAAAAAGATTACAGAAGCACATAATGGGGTCAGGAACTAAAACCCAAAATTCATTTAGCTAAACAAGTAACAATCTTGTGAAGCTTCGTTTAGCCATTTAGCTTTGTTACAATCTAACTTAGCTAAGCAAGTAACATTCTTGTGATGCTAGTTACATATTATATACATCATCATAGCAGTAAATAAATACCTGGGAGTTAGTCAGCTGTCACGGGCTGCTTCCTGAGGGTGGAGGCCTGGTCGAGGACCAGGCCGCGGGGACACTAAAGCCCCGAAATCATCTCAAGATAACCTAATCACTAGTCTTTTGTATCAGTGGTTCATAATAGTCTTGAAATATGCAGTTGCTGAAGATTTAGAAGTGGAAACACATTACAGGATTTGATGGACAGTACTGTATCTAACACTGGCAGGTTCAGACCTTAGTGCCAGACACTGAGCTTAGAAGTGGGTGGAGTCCGGAAGAAATGGTTTGTCAACAAAAGTAGGACAGTTGATATTGCGAATGTCAACATTAATCTTTTGAGCATAGTGGATGATTGCAAGTACAGTACCTAGGTATACTAGTTGGGCAGAGAATTTTATACACAAAGATGAACCAAGAATTAAGCGGTGTAAATAACCCAGTGGAAGAGTAAATAGTATCTAGAGTGAAGGATGTCCTTAGTAAAATATATACATGCAAACAGAAGTGGTTTGATTCCCACATCCTTTGATGTGGCCCTATAAGTAGGAGTACTTTACAAGTTGAAATGATATATACATGTAGACAGTACAGGACCTCATAAGTAGTGGTGCAAGGGGCAAGTATACTGAACGGAATGACATCTTTAGAGTTTAGTTCTCACTTCTCACAGTTCTAAGATATGCTAGTAAAATGGTGGTGATGTTTTTGTAAAGATAACTGCTTAACAGCATCTGTTAAGGTTCTGTTGTTTAGGTTTTTCATGGACCTAAGTGAAGACACAAATGTAGCTTGTTTAACAAAAGCATCTTCTGTAGAAATGCGCCAAATGGGAATATAGGAAGGTTTGAAGAATTTATAGGGAGAGGCAGGGACCCCCACAAGCCAGAGTGACCCTCCCCAGGGCTGTGGCAACTCCACACTACCCTTGTGCATTCCCTGGGTGGAATAGGGCCATGCACCTACACATTCTGCCAACAGTGCCCATTCAAGTGAATTTTTGGGATTGTCTAAGAAAAAATAAAACACAAAATCCATTGATTCATTAATTTGAGGAGATCTCAGGAAGCCTGGAGCACATGGGTTCCTGGTGATGACTGAGGCTCTGGACAACCTGGACCAAATACGAACCTCATATGTCTCTCTTGTTAGGGCAGACACAGGAGGAAGCAACACAGATGATCCATTATGTAGTGGTCGCTCTAAAAAGTAGAAATGGTGCAAATCAGGCAGGGTATTTACTCCTATGCCATAGTGCCTTGAACGACTCAAAACTGGATATATACACTCGCGATCCCGGCCTACTGTTATATAGAGGAAGGTGTCATACAAAATAGATTGTGATGAGGTATTTGGCCATATTGCAACAGCTGCCCTTGCTTCTTCTCTCAACACCAAAAATCCCCAACCAGGCTGCCTAGATCCACGCATTATCATATGAGGGTCGGAATGCATATTAATGTGAGCAGCACTAATACCAGACACACACCAGAGGGAATCATCCACCTCCAGAGCTGGAGCATAATGTAATAACAACTGCATCCAGTCATGGGATATCTCCACGTCTTCGTCAAGAAAGGCTAAATATCGTGCATTTGGAAAAGCTTTTACTCCTGCTTTCCAAGCTTCACGGTAAAACTGAAAGAGCCGATGGTTGATAGAAGATACATTGGGTTGAATATTAATAATCTGATAATTCAAATTAGAGAGATCCAATAGGGATTGTATGTTAGAATCAAGAATACCATTGTGGTCGGTACCAAGAGCAACTAAGACCTTATACGGTGATACGTTACGTGCCTCCAGCAGGCGAATTAGGCTATGAACTAAATATTGCAGCCGACCCCCAGCACAAACTACCACCCCCACTGTAGCTTCATCATGCATACTGCTGATCTTGTCTGCTGTTGATGGTACAATGGGCATCACCATTGGCCTAAAAGGGTCACAGAGAGGACCCATTGCTGCATTACTATCACAAAAATGTAACTGAGAACTGTGTATTTGTTTGTTCAAAAATTGGGTCTTCCTGTAAGGAAGAGATATAAGAGCATGTGCATGTAAAGCAGCCAGTGACTTGTCAAGTGGATGTGGGTTTGGCATTACAGTCTCGAGAAGTGTCTGTCCACCGACGACAAAGGCCCACACCCAAAGTGCCAAAGGAGGTGCAAAAGGGGCAAGGAGGGAGCCAAGACGAGTAAGAGTTAGAAGGGCTGCCCCAAGTCCATAGGTCCCTGCTCGTCTCACCACCAGAACCACTACACGACCCGCCTGCACTTTTTCCATCCACCATGTGAGGTCGTGAGCAAATGCATAAGCATTCCATGTGTTGAACGTTTTACGTAGGAGAATGGATCCAGTAGTGTCGTGAAGTACCGTCATGATAACTCCGTCATGTACACCCAATGACCACCAGTTGGTTTTTCCAGATGATGCCGTGATAGTGCTGTTCCATTCTTGGTGACATTGTTGTGTCAAGCATGAATAGCTTAATGCTGCACCCCTTGCTGATGACACAGCATCTACTGAGAGCAACCTGCGAAAACATGTATATAATGCTTATGTGACATATACTGTACACACACAAAAAATAAAATTACAGTACATTCACTAAAACCCAAAGTTAACAATACTAGTAAAATAAAAACCATTGTATAAAAAAAAAAATTATAGTTCCTGTGCAAGCTATTGTTTAACTTTTCAAGAGATCTCTTGAATCTTATACTGTCCCTAATAAACAAAAATATAAAGTATGAACAAATCCACAAGGGCCGTGACGAGGGTTCAAACCTACGTCTGAGAGCATCCCAGACGCTGCCTCAATCGACTGAGCTACATGGTTAAAAGAATTGCAACCAGAAGTTTTACTGAACTTACTTGGATCCTGCAGCCTCTCTGTGAGACAAACCAGGATTTTAAACAATTCCCCCCATGCACTCGAGCTATGTCAATGGGCCATTCTACCTCTTCGCCCTTCATTATAAACGAAGTAATGGTCATTTCCCAATGTCATTTCCTATTATTCCCTCATGACTTGACACCCAGTTGATAAGTACCCGTCGGCCTTGCCAATCTCCCAATCTTTATGTACTTAATCCAAACAACTGTATCATTGTGTTCATTGCTGTCTTCTTTTATGTGCTAGCTATATGCTGTATTGTGCCTATTAATTTTTGTTAAACTACCATTCAAGCTGTCAATGCAATCAATCTGAGCTACCTATGTGCTTTAATATACATACAAATTTCTCTCATCTTCCATTTTTTTTCTTGCTATGTACTTGTTATCATTTTTATAAATTTTGCTAGTATTTACCTACTTAAAATTTTCTTAGATTAAGGATCTGCCTGAAACGCTGCGCGTACTAGTGGCTTTACAAGACTGTAATTACTATGCTATGTATCCTCACAATCCCAATGTACCTTCTTGTATATAAATAAATAAATAAATAAATAAATAAATAAATTTACAGTTTCCTGCTTTAACTGCAGCTCCGGTTTCTTGTCCCTGCTGGTCTACTGATCCATCTGTGAAGTAAGTGAAGCTGTCGGATGCCAAGTTTGCTTCTATATGCATCTGTGCAATATTATGTAGCAGATGAGGATTTATCTGGTTCTTTTTTCCTTCAATAACCATACCTCTCCTCTTTCTCGTCTACATTAATGACCTTCCAAATGCCTCCCAACATCTCAAACCAATTCTATTTGCTGACGACACGACCTTCATTTACTTCAGTCCTGACCCTCTTGCTCTAAATGTCACAGTGAATACTGAGCTAAATAAAGTCCATCACTGGCTAACTGCCAACAAACTCACCCTCAATATTGACAAAACTTTCTATATTTTGTTTGGCAATAAATCCTCAAATCAAATAAATCTCAGGATTAACAATACCCAAATTTGTAACAAAGCGGATGGCAAATTCCTTGGCGTTCTCATTGACCACAAGCTGAATTTCCAGGGACACATTCTAAATATATCAAATAAAAATTCAAAAACTGTTGGCATTCTTTTTATGATCAGATATTATGTACCTCGCCCGGCCCTGGTGACGATCTATTACTCCCTCATCTATCCTTATCTCAACTATTGTATTTGTGCTTGGGGTTCTACTACCCAAAATCATTTACGTCCTCTAATTACTCAACACAAAGCTGCTATTAGGACAATATCTAACTCTGGCCCCAGACATTACTCGGTACCCCCTACTCAAATCTCTGAATATGTTAGATATTAAGTCCCTGCACATCCTCTCATGTGTATTATATATATATATAATATATATATATATATATATATATATATATATATATATATATATATATATATATATATATATATATATATATATATATATATATATATATATATGTCGTACCTAATAGCCAGAACGCACTTCTCAGCCAACTATGCATGGCCCAATTTGCCTAATAAGCCAAGTTTTTATGAATTAATGCTTTTTCGACTACCTAACCTACCTAACCTAACCTAACCTAACTTTTTCTGCTACCTAACCTAACCTAACCTATAGAGATATGTTAGGTTAGGTTATAAGCCAAGTTTTACTGAATTAATATATTTTCTCTAATTTTTTTCTTATGAAATGATAAAGCTACCCATTTCATCATGTATGAGGTCAATTTTTTTTTATTGGAGTTAAAATTAACGTAGATATATGACCGAACCTAACCAACCCTACCTAACCTAACCTAACCTATCTCTATAGGTTAGGTTAGGTTAGGTAGCCGAAAACGTTAGATTAGGTTAGGTTAGGTAGGTTAGGTTGTCGAAAAAACATTAATTCATGAAAACTAGGCTTATTAGGCAAATCAGGCCTTGCATAGTAGGCTGAGAAGTGAGTTCTGGCTACTAGGTACGACATATATATATATATATATATATATATATATATATATATGTCGTACCTAGTAGCCAGAACTCACTTCTCAGCCTACTATGCAAGGCCAAATTTGCCTAATAAGCCAAGTTTTCATGAATTAATTGTTTTTCGACTACCTAACCTACCTAACCTAACCTAACCTAACTTTTTCCGCTACCTAACCTAACCTAACCTATAAAGATAGGTTAGGTTAGGTTAGGTAGGGTTGGTTAGGTTTGGTCATATATCTACGTTAATTTAAACTCCAATAAAAAAAATTGACCTCATACATAATGAAATGGTTAGATTTATCATTTCATAAGAAAAAAATTAGAGAAAATATATTAATTCAGGAAAACTTGGCTTATTAGGCAAATCGCGCCTTGCATAGTAGGCCGATAAGTGCGTTCTGGCTATTAGGTACGACATATATATATATATATATATATATATATATATATATATATGTCGTACCTAGTAGCCAGAACTCACTTCTCAGCCTACTATTCAAGGCCCGATTTGCGTAATAAGCCAAGTTTTCCTGAATTAATATATTTACCATAATTTTTTTCTTATGAAATGATAAAGCAACCCTTTTCTCTATGTATGAGGTCAATTTTTTTTATTGGAGTTAAAATTAACGTAGATATATGACCGAACCTAACCAACCCTACCTAACCTAACCTAACCTATATTTATAGGTAAGGTTAGGTTAGGTAGCCAAAAAAAGCTAGGTTAGGTTAGGTTAGGTAGGTTAGGTAGACGAAAAAACATTAATTCATGAAAACTTGGCTTATTAGGCAAATCGGGCCTTGCATAGTAGGCTGAGAAGTGCGTTCTGGCTATTAGGTACGACATATATATATATATATATATATATATATATATATATATATATATGCAATTGACGATCACAAAACACTGATCATTTTATGCGGAAAATCCACAGAGAAATATGAAATGAGGTGAACGTTTCGGCTTGTTAAAGCCTTTGTCAACACCAGACTGACTCAAAGTCTGGTGTTGACAAAGGCTTTAACAAGCCGAAACGTTCACCTCATTTCATATTTCTCTGTGGATTTTCCGCATATATATATATATATATATATATATATATATATATATATATATATATATATATATATATATATATATATATATATATATATATATATATTAGTATATTTTGGTAGCAGTCTTTCCTGTAGACATATATTATTAAATATGACCGAAAAAGTAAGATTAATAATTCTAACACGAATTTTCTCAATCTTTCGTACATTACGCTTCACTGTTGGAGGTAAATCAAAAATCACTTCTCCAAAATTCATTTTTATTTCTAGTCTGACGCGACACGGGCGCGTTTCGTAAAACTTATTACATTTTCAAAGACTTCACAAATACACAACTGATTAGAACTTACGTCTCTCTGATATTATATCTACATTTGAGTGAGGTGGGAAGGATGATGTGGCATTAACACAAGACAGAACAGGGGATATTAATAGGGTATTAAAAGTATCAACACAAGACAGAACAGAAAACAATGGGTATTGAATAGAAGTGTTTGTAGAAAGCCTATTGGTCCATATTTCTTGATGCTTCTATATTGGAGCGGAGTCTTGAGGTGGGTAGAATATAGTTGTGCAATAATTGGCTGTTGATTGCTGGTGTTAACTTCTTGATGTGTAGTGCCTCGCAAACGTCAAGCCGCCTGCTATCGCTGTATCTATCGATGATTTCTGTGTTGTTTACTAGGATTTCTCTGGCGATGGTTTGGTTATGGGAAGAGATTATATGTTCCTTAATGGAGCCCTGTTGCTTATGCATCGTTAAACGCCTAGAAAGAGATGTTGTTGTCTTGCCTATATACTGGGTTTTTTGGAGCTTACAGTCCCCAAGTGGGCATTTGAAGGCATAGACGACGTTAGTCTCTTTTAAAGCGTTCTGTTTTGTGTCTGGAGAGTTTCTCATGAGTAGGCTGGCCGTTTTTCTGGTTTTATAGTAAATCGTCAGTTGTATCCTCTGATTTTTGTCTGTAGGGATAACGTTTCTATTAACAATATCTTTCAGGACCCTTTCCTCCGTTTTATGAGCTGTGGAAAAGAAGTTCCTGTAAAATAGTCTAATAGGGGGTATAGGTGTTGTGTTAGTTGTCTCTTCAGAGGTTGCATGGCTTTTCACTTTCCTTCTTATGATGTCTTCGATGAAACCATTGGAGAAGCCGTTATTGACTAGAACCTGCCTTACCCTACAGAGTTCTTCGTCGACTTGCTTCCATTCTGAGCTGTGGCTGAGAGCACGGTCGACGTATGCGTTAACAACACTCCTCTTGTACCTGTCGGGGCAGTCACTGTTGGCATTTAGGCACATTCCTATGTTTGTTTCCTTAGTGTAGACTGCAGTGTGGAAACCTCCGCCCTTTTCCATGACTGTTACATCTAGAAAAGGCAGCTTCCCATCCTTTTCCGTCTCGTAAGTGAAACGCAGCACGGAACTCTGCTCAAATGCCTCCTTCAGCTCCTGCAGATGTCTGACATCAGGTACCTGTGTAAAAATGTCGTCAACATACCTGCAGTATATGGCCGGTTTCAAGTTCATGTCGACTAAGACTTTTTGCTCGATGGTACCCATGTAGAAGTTTGCAAACAGGACAC